GAAGGAGGACATGATCAACAGTGTCAAAGGCAGCAGAGAGGTCAAGAAGAATTAGTATGGAGTAGTGGCCTTTGGATTTAGCTGTGATTAGGTAATTTGTAACTTTCTTAAGAGCAGTGTTAAAGTGGAGGGGGCGAAAGACAGATTGAAGAGGATCGAGGAGGGAGTTGGAATTTAGGAAGTGAGTCATACGAGTAAAGACTTTAAAAGTAAAGTCTTTCTAGAAGCTTTGAGGAAAAGGGAAGTAGGGATATGGGACGATAGTTGAAAGGAGCAGACTGGTCTAGGGATGGCTTTTGTAGGATGGGTAGCAAGCTTAAGGGGTGCAGGAGCAACACTTGTATCGCATACAGGAGGCTCCTGCAGGGTCTACCATGCTATTAACAAAGCAGGAGATAAATTCTAAATTAAACAGAGTAAACATTAGATTACATTTTACAGGAAGTGGGAAGTGTTTAGGAAAACTGTGTAAGTCACATGCAAGGAGGTGTGACTAGGGCTGCATAAACAAAGTGAGTTAACTCCTAAATGAAGAAAAACACAGATAATTGAGTAGTGAGACTGCAGGGGCATGATCAATACACCACAACTGCTTCATTAAGCCAAAGTTGTTTTGGTAACTAGTGTCCCTTTGAAGGAACACTCTGGTCACAATTACAACTTTATCTCAATTACGTTGTTATTGTGCTAGGAGGCCCCTGAGCATTTCTTACATTAAGTGGTTAAACTGTACTTTTTTTTTTAATAAATAGGGAGCTACCAACTGGCTTAGAGTGTCAGCTGGCCCTGGTTGTTTGTAAAACAATCCTGTCTGGGAAAATATACAATTGGTTCATAAGATGGTTATAAATGCCTGTTTGTCTGATATCAAGTACATTGCTATAATTAAAAGGTATAACCCCTAAGCATCATAACAACTACAGTCCGCTGTAATGTTTTTACTGCCAGGAGCCCAACCTTTTGGGAACCTAGGATAGAGGCACATGTGGTCCTTCTGGTCTTCTCTATACAGCTAAAAATTACATGAGCGGATACTCAAAAGAAAATGCTATGAGAAGTTGTAGAAAGCTGATATAGTTAAAGTGGAATGAAAAATCATTTTAGCCTGGTCAAGAAAACCAAAAAGGACCACATGAGACCGGGTAGACCCAAGTAAGTCAAGGAAATCATTTTCTCCGGTTGAAGAAGCCACAGTGAAGTGGCGAAACGCGTTCCGGTTTTAGTGGACATTGTTCCGTTTTTAAAATTGCCTGTTTTATTTTATACTTTATTACAATAAATTTAACTTTTATTTTTATGACCTTATCCTGGTTCCAGAATTCTTTTTAACAGATGGGAGTGCAGTCACAAATCTGCACAACGCTGTGGAATTGAGTCACTAATACTGACTCCAGTTATTGTAAGTACCCACTTGGGAATTTGCTTTGTATATTAAGAATAGCACCAGCAATATTGCGCAATCGTGTGTGCTTTAATTCCCCCCTGCAGGACAAGAAATTTCATTCTGATAATAGGGGTGGGTCGCCTAAACGGACCCAGTAGCGATATACACCAGAGCTGGGTCTATAGCTCTCTGTTTGTGAGTTTAAATATTATTGTATAAATCTTTGTAAAATTATATAGTCTATACTATGTTTGGTTATCTTTTATAGATATCAACACATTTCTTTCTGGCACGCAAGGGAACACCCCTCAATTTCCCAAAGGTGAATAATTATATAATCTCCATAATACAAAAGCGCTTCATTCATTCTTTTTACTGTACACTTTTCGTTTGTGATTTTAGAAGGTATCGCATGAATGCACAGCAGCTGGTTTTTAAAAAAATATCTATATATATTGACAAATTAGAGAAGTGATAACTAAGCACTGATCCTTATCCAATTTCTTGTTTTGCAGACCCAAGTAAGTGTCAAACTATATACAAAAACACAAGGTGATGGCACCAGGGGATTCATGCCACCAAAACCATTAGAGTGGTCTGCACTGGTTATGGTGTTTAGTGTGCCCCTTTAAAATAAAATGTTACATAGTTACATAGCTGAAAAGAGACTTGCGTCCATCAAGTTCAGCCTTCCTCACAAATGTTGTTGCTGTTGATCCAAAAGAAGGCAAAAAAACTGGTCTGAAGCGCTTCCAATTTTGCCACAAACTAGGAAAAAATTCCTTCTTGACCCCAAAATAGCAGTCAGATGTCTCATTGGATCAAGCAGCTATTACCCCACTAATTAGAAATTATATCCCTGTATGTTATGTTTTTGTATGTATTTATCCAATTTCAGTTTAAACATCTGTATGGACTCTGACAAAACCACCTCTTCAGGCAGAGAATTCCATATCCTTATTGTTCTTACTGTAAAAAAACCTTTTCTTTGCCTTAGATGAAATCTCCTTTCTTCCAGCCTAAATGTGTGACCTCGTGTCCTATGTAAAATTGTACAGCATATTCAAGGTGTGGTCTTACCAGCGATTTATAAAGAGGCAAAATTATATTTTCATCCTGAGAATTTATGCCCCTGTTTATACATGACAATCTTACTGGCCTTAGCAACTGCAGATTGACATTGCATATTGCAGTCTAATTTTTCGTCTATAACAATTCCCAAATCCTTCGTGTGTGGTTATCCCTAATTCACTACCATTTAGTGTGTAAGTTGCTTGTGCATTCTTAACCCCGAAGTGCATAACTTTGCATTTCTCTATGTTAAATTTCATCTGCCATTTAGTGCCCAGTCCCCCAATCTATCCAAATCTCTCTGCAGCAAAGCAATATCCTGCTCACATTTTATTACTTTACAAAGTTTTGTGTCATCTGCAAACACTGATACATGGCTTTCAAAGCCTATTTCAAGATCATTTATAAATATGTTAAATAGAAGTGGCCCCAAAACAGAACCCTGAGGGACACCACTTACCAAGCCTGAAAATTTACCATTAATTACAACTCGTACTCTATCCTTAAGTAAATGTTCTACCCAAGAACAAGAATATTCATCTAGACCAATTTCTTTTAGTTTGAAGACTAACCTATTGTGAGGGACCGTATCAAATGCCTTGGCAAAATCCAAGTAGATCACATCCACTGCAACACCCTGATCTATACTTCTACTTACTTCTTTGTAGAATGCAATTAGGTTAGTTTGACATGACCTATGTTTCATAAAAACATGCTGAATTTTGCTAATAAAGTTCTTCCCAATGAATTCCTGAATATTATCCCTTAATAGCCCTTCAAATATTTTCCCAGTTACAGAAGTTAAGCTCACAGGTCTATAATTTCCAGGCAAGGATTTTTAACCCTTTTAAAATATAGGAACAACATCTGCCTTCCTCCAATCCTCCGGTATAACACCTGAAACAAAAGAATCTTGAAAAATTAAATACAGAGGTTCACTTATTTCCCCACTTAGCTCCTTAAGTACTCGTGGGTGAATACAGTCAGGCCCCGGAGCTTTATTTACATAAATTTTCTTTAATAGCTGTAGCACCTTGTCTCGAGTTATCCAATCACAAGTTATTTGCAAGTTTTTTGCAGCAATCATTTGCATATCTCTTGCCATAGGATCCTCATTAATATATACTGAAGAAAAATAGCTATTTAGAATTTCTGCTTTTTCCTGGTCTTCATTAGCTAATAAACCCAACTCTGTTTCCAGTGTACCTACACTTTCATTTTTTGTTTTTTTAGAATTGATGTACTTGAAAAAAATTTTGGGGTTGGTTTTGCATTCTTTAGCTATCAATGTCTCATTTTCTAGTTTAGCCACTTTAATTGCCTTTTTGCAAGCGTTATTGGCTTCCTTATATCTTAAATAGGATGCCTCTGATTTGTCTATTTAAATGCTTTAAATGCCCTTTTCTTATTTTTAATCTCTTTTTTTACTTCTCTACTAAGCCACATTGGTTTTAATTAGTTTCTTTTATATTTATTACCCAATGGTACATACTGAGAAATGTACCTAATATTTGTTTGAATAGTTTCCATTTATCCTCAGTGTTTTTATCACTAAGGAGTTTATGCCAGTCGATATGTTGTAGAGCTGCTCTAATCTTATTGAAATTGGCTTTTTTTAAATTATATGTTTTAGTATACCCCACTTGCTTTTGCTTTTTTGAGTTTATTTCAAAATTTACCATATTGTGATCACTATTTCCCAAATGCTCCCCTACTTGAATGTTGGTTAAAAGATCAACATTGTTTGTTATGACAAGATCCAGACAAGCATCCTTTCTAGTTGGTGCTTGTACCAGTTGTGACATAAAGGTGTCATTTAACACATTCAAAAACCTGATGCCCCTTGCTGAAGTACTAGTCCCTCTTTCCCAATTTATGTCTGGATAATTAAAATCTCCAATAATTAACGTGTTACCTCGATTTGCAGCTTTCTCAATTTGCTCTAACAGCTGTTCTTCCTCAATAATATTTACATTAGGCGGTTTATAACATATCCCAACCAATAATTGATTTCCCTTTGTTTGCCCCAAGCAGATATTTACCCATAAAGCCTCCACCTTTTCCTCGTCACACTCCACATGCCTAAGATTTGACTTTAACTCATGGTTGACGTTTAAACATACCCCACCAAATTAGCTTAAAATATTTACAGTTGACCACATCTTTATATTATTTATATCAGAATCTTTGTTAATTTGCAGGTTTGAAAATTACTGTAAAAAAATAAATAAATACAAAACAAAACACACAGAAAATGCTTTAGCCACATTATATGTAAATAAAGGGAGTACCTTTGATGATAAGTTTGTGTTGGACCATTAATTTCTTTCTATAATTGCAGTAGCCCAGGGCAAATTGCAATTCAAGGAATGAGGAATGGCATTTTTTTTTTTTTAGAAAAGTGTCCCACACTCACTAATACAATAAAAGTTGTGTTTGCTTAAAAAAATAAAAAAAAAATAAAAATAAAAACACACCACACATGAACATTCAAGTGCAGACTAGTGCAATTGATGCCAATTGGCACCAAAGTAGAATGTCAGTAATTGGGGGCATTTTCTTTTAATCAAAACCCTGAACCTGTTTTAATATTTGCGAAATTTATTTTTAACTCAAACTTGCAAAATGAAACATATACACAGATTTATAAAAATAGGAAGAATGTTATATTTGTAGCAACCACCAAGGAAGCAGAAAAAAAGCCATGCAATAACAGATGAACAAAACATTTAATACAATTATACATATAAGTATGTGTTATAATTCTATTACAAATCTCTGAACTTCAGAGAGATATGCTGGTTTTAAATAATCTTTGAGTTCGTCCTTGCTAACCCAAACATAGTCTCCTCCTTTCTTTATTGCAGACAAATCTCCACTTTTATGTAAAGCTTTGAAAAAAAATACTTTGGCTCCTGTATTATCTTCTGTCCTGACAGACTTTGGGAATTTGTATTTGTAAAAACCACATGGAGCATTTCCCAAGAAGTGTGCCTTAATACGGTTATCTAAGAAGAAGGGAAAAAAAAATAAATACAAAGCACTGTTAATATATATAATAGTAAGTTTCTAAAAAAACGATATGCTTTATGGGGAATTGCAACTTCTCTGGAATTTACACTATTGAGTAAAACATTGAAAATCCCCTATTACTTTTGTTAAAGGATTATTCCAACCATCATGACCATTTCAGTAATTTTACGATAGAGCCGGAGTTCCAGGCTACTGTAAATTCTGTGCATAAAGTACATCATTCGTCAGCACGCACAGCACATTGGCAATAGATGCATTAAAGGACCACTATAGTGCCAGGAAAACATACTCGTTTTCCTGGCACTATAGTGCCCTGAGGGTGCCCCCACCCTCAGGGTCCCCCTCCCGCCCGGCTCTGGAAGGGGGAAAGGGGTAAAAACTTACCTTTTTCCAGTGCTGGGCGGAGAGCTCTCTGCCTCCTCTCCTCCTCCGTTACGCCCCGCCGGCTGAATGCGCACGCGCGGCAAGAGCTGCGCGCGCATTCAGCCGGTCTCATAGGAAAGCATTTACAATGCTTTTCTATGGACGCTGGCGTGCTCTCACTGTGAAAATCACAGTGAGAAGCACGCAAGCGCCTCTAGTGGCTGTCAATGAGACAGCCACTAGAGGATTAGGGGGAAGGCTTAACCCATTCATAAACATAGCAGTTTCTCTGAAACTGCTATGTTTATGAAAAATGGGTTAACCCTAGCTGGACCTGGCACCCAGACCACTTCATTAAGCTGAAGTGGTCTGGGTGCCTAGAGTGGTCCTTTAAGTTTTCCCTTTCCTCCCACCCCTTCAACCCAATAAAATTACCCTCCCTGACGGAGATTTCGCACATATGCTCTGAGCCTGCAAAATGGTCCAATCACAGGCTTCTGGCTGACATCACGTCAAGAATGGGCGTGGAAGTCAGCACCGGGAGAAGGTTACAGGGCAAACAGAGGGAGGCAGTACCTTATTTATAGTAGCCAAAAAGGAATTCTACACAGAAGGCAGCCAGCTTCCAAAAGGGTTGGAGTAAACCTTTTTTACATGAGATGGCCTGCTATATTTTAAAGGAAAACTTTACTATTAGGAATACAAAGAAACTGCAATGTATGCAGCTGCAGAGCTAAGAGGACAGGGAACTCAGACCACTTCAATAATATTAAGAGCTCTTAACTAAACAAAGATGCAGGTGTCCAGTTGCAGGATAAAAAGATGTGGATTTCTACGTTTACATGGATTTTCACTAAAATGAGAATTCAAAGTACATTTCAAATTTAAGGTCAAATTAGCCAAACTATACAAATTTTCTAAGTCAGATATTTTTCCAGCTCTGCCACTTTTGCCTTAAATTTGAAATTCAGTTGAAATTCTCCATGTAGTAAATAACACTTCTAATTTATTTTTAATTTTTTTACACCACACAAAACATACTTACAAAACAACAGAGATAAACATAATATTAAAAAATCTGGAAGTGGCAGTTTCTCTTTAGTTATTGACATGTAACTGAAAATGAACCTTGGCACAAAAGTGTCTAAATTTAATAAAATTATATAAAATATACCAAGATGCTTACATTCAACCTTTCTGTGAGATTTAGCCTTCACCGTGTCAGAGATGACCAACTATACCATTTAGAGAGTTATTGTGAATTGTTGGATAAATTTCTTTATTTAAGTCTAAACGGTTGTACTTAACAGATTTTGAAAATTTGTTCAATTCTGTTACTTAAGCCTAGAAAATGAATCGGACTTTGGATTTCAAACTATTTACATTCTAGTGAAAAAAAACACAAAACATTTTTACTTACCGTAAATTTATTTTTCAGAAGATTAGAGGCAGTGCTTTACAACTGGGATTTCATCACCTGGAGGGAAAAAACCGGCAGGCAATCTCCCAAACTTTTCAAGAACCTCCCCCAATTAACCTTTGTCCTTATCAATTGCTTCCTACCCAAGACATCCCCAGAAATTACAAAAGCAGAATAACCGTACCACTCAGACTATGAACAAATTTGGGGGGGAAGTAAGCACTGCCTCTAGTCTTCTGGAAAAATAAATTTACGGTAAGTAAAACATTTTTGTTTTTACCTTCAGATTAGAGGCAGTGCTTTACAACTGGGATCTCCAAAAGCAATCCCTTAGGGCGGGATTCAGTTCTCACTGCAAAACCCTGCAACCAAAGTTGTATCTTCCAAGATCAACAGAAATAATTGAGTGAAGAGATCACCTCGTGGCTGTTAGGAAATCGAGAGAATGTATAGCAGAAGCCCTCAGGCAACCGATCTGAACATAACTGTGATCGAAGGATCTTCAATGGAGATAGGTGTTAGATGAGAAAAAAACAAAATGAATGCAGACCTTTATGGTAACGTAGACGAGAACTAAACACCCAGGTAGTGGAATTAGAATTCCAAGACCCTAGAACGCTGTTGGGAAAAGTTAGAAAAATAATGCGGTACCCTTGAGAATTCCAGGATGCCTATTTACAGGTAAGGTCCCCAAAGATTCCTCCGGATAATTTTGAACGGTGAAACAGCTACTTGTCCCCAAGGGAGGAAGACTATCATTCTCACCTTTTCCATCCTATAGGGTCTTGGGGAATAGGGAACCAGGAGGAAACTATAGGTTAGACTGGAATTCCCAAGAAAAAAGGAAACCAAAGTGAATAGACCTAAGAAAACTAACCCAAGCATATCCTGGAACAAGATTTTTCAAACAAGATGAGCTTGTTTGTACATAATTGCTACCGATGTAGAACTATCTGAGCAGATCTGGATAAGATAATACCTGGTCTTTATCTGAAAGGCAAAGAGAACTAGCCAGATAGCCTTCGGTCCTATGTAGTTGGATAAGTTTTTACAAATTATCTCAGCTAATTTCCCTTCAACCCTATGAGAATCTAGCTGAGACCTGAAGCATCAGTCATAAAATTCTGAACGATCGATTTGAGAACTAGAACAAAGAGTAAGAACCGTCTGGCAACCTCATTTCTGCCTGGTTCAGAAAGGAATGACCGAAGTATAGTATTTTACTGCAAAATCTTATTAGCAACTGTATCTGGCCACTGAAGGACCTGTAAACGGTGCTATGCCTAAAGAAGCTAAAGAGACCAAGCAGGTTCCTACAAGACGGGAACCAATATTATTTCCCTAGTATCTTGTCTACTGAAGTAGAATTGAGATTTCAGGTGATAAGGACAGAGAGAACCACGATTTTTTTCTTCAGGGAATTACCATTCTCTGAGAGTCAAAAAACACTTGACAAAATATTTACACCTCAACTGTTCCTTGACAAACACTAGAACTGCACACTTCTTGAAAAGGGAATTCTATATCAGAAGATTGATTAGCATCCACCTGTCTGCTGTAGAAACACCCTAACCTTTTGGGGCTGGTGTACAAAAATTAATTAGGTGCCCCTGAGGAAGCAGTATTGTAGAGATTCAACAAATTTATGGATGGCAACAAATCTCAAGTGGCAATTACCATAAGCATTTTCTTAAAAGAAAACTGCAGACAAACCTAGGCAGTAAACCATCCCAGTCATATCGTATCTATTACAGTGCAGGGAACAAATTGAACCTGGTGGAACTACACCTTGATCAATAGGCTTGCAGCTGTACTAGAACTTGCTTCAAGCCCAGTAACATGAGGAAGAAATTATTTTCCATGGAGACTAGTTCATAGAGGTTACCATCTTAATTGGCGGAAGCGAGACTGATTACATAGATATACAGTCAGCATTAGACAATACCCATGATCCAGGCCTTCCTTAGCCGTAATTGGGAAGCAGAGGCTAGAGCAGAAAGAATATCTGCAAACTGCATTTCAAAACCTGTTTGATGCAAACTCTGCAGGAAACAATATTAGAAGTAATTCTTTAAAATTGCAATTCCAACCAACAGCCTTACCTGATAGAGGCTTTCCTTAGCCGTATGTGGGAAACAGAGGCTAGAGCAGACAGAATAGCTGCAACTGCATCTAAAACCTGTTTGATGAAAACTCTGGAACCAATATTAGGAAGCATTTTCTTTAAAATTACCATTCCAACAGTCAGTTAACTCAAACCTATCTGACAACATAGGACTTGGAATTTAAGATAAAACATAAAATGTGCAACCATGGAGTGAAGCACAGGAAAAGTTCTGCCCCAGCCTTTTTAGAAACTGATATCAGGTGAAACTAGTTGAGGTGGTGAGAATGCTAATTGCAACAGAGCTTTGTCTACAACAATTGCTAAAAGCTTACTGCGTATTTAAGAAAATAAACACTGTGGCTAGGATCCTGGCATTTAAAGAATGCATCTGCTACAACAGTATATTAACTTAACCAAAACCAGATTTTAAATATCAGCCTCCTAAGGATAACATACAGAGGATAATCCTCCAATAGTCATACAGGTCTTGCTCTTGTGAATATTTCCATCAAACACATCACTTTAATTGCTGACCTTGTTGCAGCAATTAGTGATTATTGAAACCCATATTAACTAATCACTGAGTAGCAGCTATTTTGAGTCAGAAAGGAAACTTACATTTTCCCAATAGAATTATGTAAAGGTATATGCTAATACCCTTATAGGCTTTACTCAAAGAATAATCTATTTCGGGCCCGATCTACTTACCCTTTCAAAGCACGATTTGTTTTAAGATTTTAGTAATAATCTTTAAGTGATGAGAAGTTAAAAACTCTCCAACTTAGAAACATTTGCGCTTTTTTAGTTTATCCATCTTGCAGCACAGATAATTAACTTATTCAGGCTAGAGTCATTTATGATAAAGCAAAAAGGCTTACGTTAAATGTCCTCAGAATGTGTTGGAGGTTGGTGAGAACACACTTGCAACAGATTCTGAGTGCACCTGGCAACAGTTAGTTGCTGCTGGGTAAACAGCCTCTCTAACTCCTGGAAACCAATATCTTGACCCCAGAGAGAAACAATAATAAAGATATTGGCGACAGAATTTTAAATCGCATTACGCATGTTCTGCATTTTCGCGTTTCCTGTACGAGTGTTCCACCGCCAGGACTTCCCAGCTAGTGTCCAAATGCACACCATCGTCTGCCCGGCACCTGGCTCGGTATAGACGGAAATAATACAACCCGGAGAAATACAGCCATCGGGTGTGTTATCCCTGGCTGATCTCTAAAAAATTTATTTAAAAGAAGTAGAGCTTCCAGAGCCTCAGCCCTCTCACCATACTTCTAGGGAGAAAACCTGACACCCTCTTCTGCCAGAGGCAGGCAAAGAACTGGGGATGTCTTGGGTAAGAAGCAATTTATAAGGCCAAAGGTTATTTGGGGGAGATTCTTGAAAAGTTTGGGAGATTGTCTGCCTGTTTTTTCCCTCCAGGTGATGAAATCCCAGTTGTAAAGCACTGCCTCTAATCTGAAGGGAAAAAGTATATTTTATCTTTATCATATATCAGGCCGATCTCACCACAATCTGCATGCTACAGGAACACCCAAAATACTATAATGGCTACAGACGTTTTTCAACCCAGTACTCTTGACAATTATTACAACTTTGCACTCCTCTAGTTGGCCTTTTACACATTATCAGAGGAAGCTATAGTGTTAGGAATACATGCTTGTATTATTTACATTATAGCATCCATTTAACAAACATTACACAATTTAACCCCTTAAAACCGGAGGACGTACAATTACGCCCTCGTAATTGTACGCCCTCCGGTTTTTGTTAACTTACCCAGGGAGCCCCCCGCGGCACGTCCGTCCTCGTCGAAGCCCCCCGGCCATGTGAGAGTGGGGTCCTAGCGAGGACCCCACAATCACATGGCCGGGGATAGCTGGCTTCTGCATTGCCAGCAGGGGGGCTGCCTGTAATGACAGGTGGTCCCCCTGCTGGCTGAAAATAAAATTAAAAAAAGTTAATCAGTGTAAAAAATAAATAATATATACTTAGATCATATGTATATGTTATATACATATGATCTAAGTATATATATATATATACACATATACATACACACACATACACCGTCTAGGTGTATTTTACTATTAATATATATATTATATATATATATATATATATATTAATATCAAATTACACGTAGACTGATACTGATTAAATATATATATAATTATTGTTATATATTTATATATAATATAAAAAAATAAAAATATAAATCGTTAAAAAATAAAATTAAAAAATAATTAAAAATAAATAATTAAAAAATATATAGATGTATTTAGTTCTATTAGTTTTGTGAAATTAATATATATATATATATCAAAATACATAGAGAACGAAATAATATATATATCTATATACATAAATATATATGTATATATCACTATATATATACCTATATATAAATAAAAATATTTTTAAAAAGCTATTATAGATATATATATATATATATATATATATATATATATATATATATATACATATATTAATTCTTCATATATATTTATGTAATATTTTTACATAATTAGGTATCTTAATTAATTACAATTAGCGGGACCTGCCTGACAACCCATGCCGAAAGTAAAGGGAATTTAATTTGCTAGCACTATATTTAACCCTATAACTTTCCAAGACACCATAAAACCTGTACATGGGGGTACTGTTCTACTCGGGAGACTTCGCTGAACACAAATATTAGTGTTTCAAAACAGTAAAATGTATTACAACGATGATATCGCCAGTAAAAGTGACGTTTTTTGCATTTTTCACGCACAAACAGCATTACACGGACAATATTATTGCTGTGATACTTTTTACTGTTTTGAAACACAAATATTTGTGTTCAGCGAAGTCTCCCGAGTACAACAGTACCCCTCATGTACAGGTTTTATGGTGTTTTCAAAAGTTACAGCGTCAAATATAAGGCTTGCATTTCAGTTTTTTCACATTAAAATTCGCCAGATTGGTTATGTTGCCTTCGAGACCCTATGGTAGCCCAAGAATGAAAATTACCCCTATGATGGCATACCATTTGCAATAGTAGACAACCCAAGGTATTGCAAACAGGGTATGTCCAGTCTTTTTTAGTAGCCACTTAGTCACAAACACTGGCCAAAATTGGCATTTTTTGCATTTTTCACACACAAACAAATACTAACGCTAACTTTGGCCAGTGTTTGACCAAATGGCTACTAAAAAACTGGACATTGTCTACTATTGCAAATGGTATGCCATTATGTGTAAATTTCATTCCCGGGCTACTATACAGTCTCAAAGGCAGCGTAACCAATCTGGCAAATTTCAATTTCAAATGTAACCTGCTATATTTGACCCTGTAACTTCCCAAAACGCCATAAAACCTGTACATAGGGGGTACTGTCTTACACGTGAGACTTTACTGAATATAAATATGTGTATTTTATTGCAGTAAAAGCAAACAGTATTATGACATTGACCGTTAAAATGTCATGTAGAACTAAAAAAATCAAACAAAATCTTATTTTCTCCCATTTTTTTCATATTAAATTATGTTTCATAGCTAAATATTTGATATTAAATGAAAGCCCTGTTTCCCCTGAATAAAATGATATATAATAAGGGTGGGTGCATTTACTATGAAAGAGGTGTATTACGGTTGGACAGACATGTAGCGCAAATGCCAGGTTTTGTTTACATTTTGTTTTGTTCACAATGTGTACATTTGGCTCCGTCCTTAAGGGGTTAAATATGTTCACACTAACAGGAAACAAAAAATCAACAACTTAAAAACTACCTGATAAATTAGCTATGGCTCTTTCTGCAGTCTGCCTCATAGTTTCTCCACACTCCCACGCCACCTGGGGGAACATCCAAATTTCTTCACTGCCAATTTTTTCTTTTACCAAAAGAACGAGATTATTTTCGAGTTTCCTATTCAACGAAGACTTGTCATTTTTCACATCAGTTTCTGTAATAGAGAAATGCTACAGATTACTACTCACAAATAAGCAGAGATTAAACATGTTTACCACATTGGGTTTATACACTAAACTGTGTAGACGTTTATTCTTTTTTTCCTTATTAGTGACAGTACTCCCCTGCACTCTGGACAGGTAGAAAAACTAGATCCCATTCAACCTACAGAATAACTTCCCTCCTTACACACCAAACTAAAAATATAATATTTAATAAGTAAGTAGGGAATAAAGGTAATGCTGCGAAAAATCAGGAAAAATCTTGGGGCTGATGAGGTGTCAAAAGGATGAGCCTTGACTTGTGTAAAGGCTTTCGATTCTCAATTTATTACAAAACCCGCAAAATCTCCATGTAGTCTTGCAATAGTGTATAGATATGCCATCCTCCCACCAGACCTTATTCCTTGTCTTGTTTGTAACCATGGGTACTATCTCGGTTTCACAATAGCATATCAATTAAACTGTTAATAACTCCCAAAAAAACCTCACTGAGTCTTCATTGAATACTATTCTACTTCCATAATACTTCCCTTACCTTTTGTGTCACTTTACCCCACTCCCTCTAGCATGTAAACTCATTGAACAGGGACCTCAACCCCTCTGTTTCTGTGCGACAAACTTGTCTGGTTACAATTACATGTTTGTTAGTCCACTCATTGTAAAGCGCTGCGGAATTTGTTGGTGCTATAAAAATTTAATAATAATAATAATAATAATAATAATAATAATAATAATAATAGTCTGTGTTCCATCTTGGCAATTTGGCAATTCTTTCAGAGTTCTACTGAAGTCCTTGCACTTCTTGAAAGGAAGTTCCCAGAGTGAATTCTTAGATGTCGTTTCCACTGACCACGACTTCAACCAGATGTCTCTTCTGTAAGCAGAGGATAACCCCATATTTCTAGCTGCTAGTTTGACAGACCTATCAGTCATGTTGCACATAAACTCATTTGCTACTTTTATACAGCATATATAATAATAAAAATAAATAAATAAATAAAAAAAAAATAGAGAGAGAGGAATAATAGCCTGCTGGTTTTCCAGGTGAACTTTCTTCTGGGAGTTGTGAAGCCAAACACGCTGCCCCCTTGCCACAATGCCCCTAAACGTCAAGACCTTGCTCTGGGCAGTCACTGCCTAAATGTTAAGTCTGCAGGATGTCTGATCTTTCACTGAGAAGTCGTCATGGTGTCTTGCGTAGTACTTTAAGAGTATGTTTTAACTGCTCTGTGTGATTTAACCTAGTACAAAGTTTTTTACAGTATTTACTGGGGTGAGATAAAACAAAATTGCAAGCAACCAAAAGTACATTTACATGGAATAAAAAAAACAAAACAAAAAAAAAAGTACTATATTTACAAACAAAATTGAGGTACCTGTTACTAGTGGTGCAGTTTTGAATTGTCTACTTTTCTGTTCCCACATATCCTCAAGATCTTGACCCATTACAATTTCATTATCTTCATCTTCTTCATCAGAATCGTAAGTATTTGACAGTTTCCTCTTAAGGCGTGCTTCATCTTCCATAAGCCGAAGCTCATGATCTGAATACAAACTTCCTTCCAACTCCATCTGTTAGGAAACACAAAATAGGAATTCAAAGTCGAACAATGCACTGACAGAAAGCAGTTTCATAACGTTTATGTAACTGATACTATGCTCACATTGTGTTCCTACACATAGAAAATTAGGCATATTGAACACCATGCAACAGTAGAAGAACTGTGTATCTTGGCAGAAAGTCCATAGAATGTTTAAACATATTTAACACATGGTTATGTTAATGTACTGGATATTTTGTAATTCCATTGTTTACAAAGATAGACCACGGCTTCCGTCATCATACAGCTATTGCTGCTATTCTCAGATTTTTAGCCTTGAAGTAACTTTGGCAACTCATGACTATGGCATAGGTTTTTAAAGGGAAACTATAGTCACCTGAACAACTTTAGCTTAATGAAGCAGTTTTGGTGTATAGAACATGCCCCTGCAGCCTCACTGCTTAATCCTCTGCATTTAGGAGTTAAATCCCTTTGTTTATGAACCCTAGTCACACCTCCCTGCATGTGACTTGCACAGCCTTCCATAAACACTTCCTGTAAAGAGAGCCCTATTTAGGCTTTTATTGCAAGTTCTGTTTAATTAAGATTTTCTTATCCCCTGCTATGTTAATAGCTTGCTAGACCATGAAAGAGCCTCCTGTATGTGATTAAAGTTCAATTTAGAGATTGAGATACAATTATTTAAGGTAAATTACATCTGTTTGAAAGTGAAACCAGTTTTTTTTTTTTTCATGCAGGCTCTGTCAATCATAGCCAGGGAAGGTGTGGCTAGGGCTGCATAAACAGAAACAAAGTGATTTAACCCCTTAAGGACACAGCTTCAGAAGCTGGACATACCCTTAAGGACACAAGCAATTTTTGCATTTTTTGCTGTTTGTGTTCAACTGCAATTTTCATCTCTCTCATTTATTGTACCAACACATATTAAAGCGGCACTGTCATGCCGAACTTACCTTTCCTCAGTCTCTTCCTCTTCTCCCCCTCTCTCAGGATCTGTTATTCTTTTCTTCCTGTCTTCTTTAGTTTTCTTTAAAATCATAAGACAAAGTAGGGACTCTTTGCCTTATGGAGGATTCCTCTGCTTGACCAGCTCTGACCAGCGGAGGAGCAAAGTGTGCTTCATTTCCGCTGGTCAGAGCAATTTTCCCATGATCCTTACCTTCCCTCTGTGTTCCCGCGATGCTTCCTGTCATTTTACATGAAACTGCCGAATTGCGTTCTAACTGAATGAGAACAGTCTGTTCGTTTCTCTTAGAACGCAATTCGGCATTTTATTCGGATCGGAGTTTCATTCTAATGAATGAAACTCTGATCCTATTCATTGCTGTGGCTGCATCTTGCAGCCGCTTAGTAGATAACTCCCTAATTCCCACGGTATCAGGGAGCTATCTACTAAAAGGCTGAAAGACCTAAATTGGTCTTTTAGCCAACTTTACTAATACTAAGTAAAGATTACTTAGTATTAGTAAATTAAATGCCCCTACTCGCTATACCGCGAGTAGGGGCATGTGTAGTAAGCAGTGAGCAGCGTATAGCTGCTCACTGTAAAAAAACAAACAAAAAACTAATAACCCCCCCCACTCCCCCCATGCCCGTGGGGGCCCTAAAACCTGGCCCCCACCCCTGAGCGGTGGGTGGGGGCCCTAATAAAACAATAGGGGGGGGGGACCTACTGTCCTCCCCCCCCTGAGCGGTGGGTGGTTGCCCTAAATGAAACACCCACCCCCAATCAAGGTGACTAGGGGTCCCAAGCCCCTAGTCACCCCCCACCCAAAAAAAACTACCCCCTACCTACCCCCCTCACCCTAAAAATAGTGAGGGGGGAATAAAATAACTAACCTGTAAAAAAAAAATTTAACTTACCATTTGACGTCTTCTTTTTTCTAAAATCTTCTTTCTTCAGCCCCCAAAAAGGCCAAATAAAAATCCATTATACCTGTCGCACTTAAAAAAAAAAAAAAAAATTAATCCATGTTCGCCCTTCGAGGGCACGCCGCATACTGAGCTCCGCAGGGCGGGTCAAGGCTTATAAAGCCTTGCCCCGCCCTGCAATTAGGCTTAGAACACTCTGATTGGTGGGTTTAAGCCAATCAGAGTGTTATGAGTCATTTTACACAGCGTGGGAAAATTCAAAAGAAATTTCCCACGCTGTGTAAAATGACTCATAACACTCTGATTGGGTGGCTTGAAAGCCATCCAATCACAGTGCTCTGTGTCATTTTACACAGCATGGGAAAGTTCTTTTGAATTTTCCCACGCTGTGTAAAATGACTCAGAGCACTCTGATTGGCTTAAACCCACCAATCAGAGTGTTCTAAGCCTAATTGCAGGGCGGGGCAAGGCTTTATAAGCCTTGACCCGCCCTGCGGAGCTCAGTCTGCGGCGTGCCCTCGAAGGGCGAACATGGATACAAAAAGTTTTGGGTTTTTTTGTTTTTTTTTAAAGTGCGAAGGGTATAATGGATTTTTATTTGGCCTTTTTGGGGGCTGAAGAAAGAAGATTTTAGAAAAAAGAAGACGTCAAATGGTAAGTTTATTTTTTTTTTTTTTACAGGTTAGTTATTTTATTCCCCCCCTCACTATTTGTAGGGTGAGGGGGGTAGGTAGGGGATAGGTTTTTTTGGGTGGGGGGTTGGTGACTAGGGGCTTGGGACCCCTAGTCACCTTGATTGGGGGGGGGTGTTTCATTTAGGGCCCCCACCCACCGCTCAGGGGTGGGGGCGGGAGGACAGTAGGTCCCCCCCCTTATTGTTTTATTAGGGCCCCCACCCACCGCGCAGGGGTGGGGGCCGGGGGGGAGGACAGTAGGTCCCCCCCCCTTATTGTTTTATTAGGGCCCCCACCCACCCACCGCGCAGGGGTGGGGGCCAGGGGGGGAGGACAGTAGGTCCCCCCCCCTTATTGTTTTACTAGGGCCCCCACCCACCGCGCAGGGGTGGGGGCCGGGGGGGAGGACAGTAGGCCCCCCCCTTATTGTTTTATTAGGGCCCCCACCCACCGCGCAGGGGTGGGGGCCGGGGGGGGAGGACAGTAGGTCCCCCCCCTTATTGTTTTATTAGGGCCCCCACCCACCGCGCAGGGGTGGGGGCCGGGGGGGAGGACAGTAGGTCCCCCCCCTTATTGTTTTATTAGGGACCCCACCCACCGCTCAGGGGTGGGGGCCAGGGGGAGGACAGTAGGTTCCCCCCCCTTATTGTTTTACTGGGGCCCCCACCCACCGCTCAGGGGGGGAGGACAGTAGGTCCCCCCCCTTATTGTTTTATAAGGGCCCCCACCCACCGCGCAGGGGTGGGGGCCAGAAGTTCCCCCCCATATCTTTATTTAGGGCCCCCACCCACCGCTCAGGGGTGGGGGCCGGGGGGAGGACAGTAGGTCCCCCCCCTTATTGTTTTATTAGGGCCCCCACCCACCACTCAGGGGTGGGGGCCAGGGGGGGAGGACAGTAGGTCCCCCCCCCTATTGTTTTATAAGGGCCCCCACCCACCGCTCAGGTGGGGTGGGGGAGGGGGGGAGGACAATAGGTCCGCCCCCCCTTATTGTAATTTATGTCACTGCTCACTGTTTAGTAGACATGCCCCTACTCGCGGTATAGCGAGTAGGGGCATTTGGGAGATTTTAATCTCCCTTGTGCTATTATGGGGGTCATATTGACCCCCATAGAGTGAGAGGGGGTACTGGGGGGGCTTATGAAGTGGTGGGGAGCACTGCTCCCTGCCGCTTCTATCGTTACATATTACAAGGAGGGAGCTGCACGCCGGTAGCTCCCTCCCTGTAATAAGCTGCACGAACAAACATACACTGATACATTGTGTTTGTTTGTTCGGCTGATATTTCTATTCACTCATTCGTCTGTCTGATGAATGAGTGAATAGATGAAATTCCCGTTCGCATGTCCAGGTGTTTCACTGGGCATGTGCGGGAATCTCACAGTCTGTCTAGTGTGGGCTGATGACGTGTCCCACAGGGACTTCATCTACCCACACAAAGATGGCGGCGCCCTGAATCAAGATCGGGGCAGAAAATAAGGATTAAAAAATAGGTAATGTGGGGGGCATAGGGGCATTTGGGGGTGACTAGTGGGTCAATTGGATGTAGTGGAGGCGGGAGGTGGGTTAAAAAAAAAAACGAGATTCAGCATGACAGTGCCGCTTTAAATACCGTTTTTTAGACAACAAAAGGGCTTTAATTTGATGTGACCTATACATGTACAAATTCTAATTTATTACAAAATAAATGCAAAATAATGTGGAAAAAAAACCTTTTTTCCTCACGTTTTGGCAATAATAATGTGTGCATAATATGTCCAGCTTAGGAAAAGTAATTCAAAATCAATTCATTTATGTGTCTTGATTTACAAAGTACAAAATATGTGTAGGATTTCAGTTTATTTTGAAAGTTACAGGTCACAAACTACAAGGTCTAAAATAAAATTTAAATGTGAAACAATTTTAGAAGTTGGTATGTTTGTCTTGGAAGTTTAACATCCATTACAGGAAACAAAATTGCCACACAAAAGTATATATTTATATAAAGTAGACATCACAGGCTATTTACCTAAGGTTGGTTTGACACTTTTTGTGCGGCCATTTCACCGCCAATCTCTGCTAAATATTGGAGTAAAATTGTGTTTTTTTCTCTATTTTGGCATATACACACATAAGGTTTTTGTAATGTGTATTTCGTAAACGTAGCGTGTGCTATCCTCATATTGTGTTCAGCTACATCTGCTGAGTACAACGATACCCCCATTGTATACCTTTGCCCCTATTCTGTGAAGCTACAATGCCATATAGGAGACCATGCTATTTCAGTTTCTATAGTTGGAATTTTCATAGATGGTCATGTGTCTGATTTTGACTGTTCAAATAACCCCATAAAGGCCTTCCATTTGAGAAAGCAGACACTCCAGGCTATGTTATTAAGCATTTATTATACCTTAACTTGCCACCATGTTTTCACCAATTTATTTCCAATTTTGTGGTTAGAAAAAAAAAAAAAAAAATTTAAAATCTTTTACATGTATGTTGCATTTTCGCTGGGTATTTCTTACATTTGATAAGTGCCACTGTCATAAATTCCCCCTAAGTATGCTCAGTTACCTCTTCTGAGTAAAACAATATGCCCAATGTATGACCCAGACACTATTGTGTGAAGTTACAGTGCTGTGAAAGAGATGTGATAAGTTCAGGTTTTTAAGTGTGAATTTACATGGAGAGTTTTAATGTGTCCGTATTCTATTTTTAAATATGTAAGCAGGTTGCTTTTTCCAACTACACCAAAAAGGCATACTATTTCTTAAAGACGCCGCCAGAGGGCATTTCAAAAGGCAAATTTTGAACCTTAGCGTGGGATAATTTTTCCGTTAGCTTGTATCAAGTGCAGTGGTAATAAGCATTTTTTTTCCTGCCTTTTTGACACACAGTGAATTTGTACTGTATATTTTGCAAACCTTATGTGTGCTACGGCTTTATAATACTTTATATGTTGCTCAGCTATGTTGTCTGAGTACAGCAATACCCCCGTATATACCTTTGCCAGGTATATGGGGACGCTGAAGGGGCACATTTCAGACACAGCCATTGCAAGTTTTTTCAAACTTTGAATTTTTACGTTGTGTTGTTACCCCACTTTTGAGTTTTTTAGTAGGCTATATATTCTAACTATCCCATAAAAGCATACTATTTCTTAAAGAAGACATCCCAGGGTATTTCAAAAGGCATATTTTGAACCTTAGTGGGGGGATCATTTTTCCGCTAGCTTGTACCAAGTGTAGTGGTAATACACATTTTTTCAGCTTTTTTTGACACACACCGTGAGTTTGTACTGTATATTTTGCAAACCTTATGTGTGCTACGGCTTTATAATACTTTATAGGTTGCTCAGCTATGTTGTCTGAGTACAGCAATACCCCCGTATGTACCTTTGCCAGGTATATGCGGACATTGAAGGGGCACATTTGACACACGGCCATTTAAGTTTTTTCAAACTTTACATTTTTACGCTGTCCATACCCCACTTTGGAGGTTTGTTTGTAGGTTAATTATTCCAGCTTCCCCATAAAGGCATACCATTTCTTAAAGAAGACACCCTAGGGTATTTCAAAAGACGTATTTTGAACCTTAGCGTGAAATAATTTTTCCACTAGCTTATACCAAGTGTAGTGGTAATACGCTTTTTATATGCCTTTTTGACATACTCAATGAGTTTGTAATATATATTTTGCAAACCTTATATGTGTTACAGCAGTATAATACATCATATGTTGCTCCGCTATGTCATCTGAGTACAGCAATACCCCCGTATGTACCTTTACCAGGAATTGAAGGGGCACATTTGAGACACAGATATTTAAGTTAGAATTTTTACGCTGGGTCCATTCCCCACTTTGGAAAAATTTTTAATAGGTTGTGTTTTCCATTTACTTCACAAAGGCATACCATTTTCTAAAGAAGATACCCCAGGGTGTTTCAAAAGGCATATCTGAAACCTTACCGTGGTATCATTTTTTCGATAGCCTGTACCAAGTGTAGAGCTAATACGCATTTTCCCGCTTTTTAAAACATTTTTGTAACTTTTTAAAAGTTTTTTTAACTTTTAAAAAGTTTTATTTAGCTTTTAACTTATTTTACTATTTTAAAACTTTGTTTAAACTTTTCAAAAGTTGTTTTTTTACTTTTAACCCCTAACTAGCCTAACCGTAAATCCCCCAATTTCCCCACTAACCTCTACACACCTTAGCTAAATAAATATTTTAAAATATTTAAAAGAATTAAATACATTTAACCCCTGAGGATTAAAAAATAATAATAAAAAAAAAAAAGTTAACCCTTAGGGGTTAAAAAAAATATATATCGGATCACAGTGAAATACTGTGATCTGTATTTTGATCACTGCAGGCGGTGATCAAAGGGCAGGGAAGGGGTTAAATTTTATTTGAAAGAGGTGAGGGTGGGTGGGATTTTATTGCTAACACTTTTTTTTTCTTGCAGAGAGAAAGATCAGCTCTGACGCCCAGTCAGACCGATCACATGGGCTGAATCAGTGAAACTGCCCATGGTAGTGTGCCTCCGATAAGGAGACACACTACAGGAAGATTAACCCCACGATTGCCGCGATTGTGGCAATCAGGAGTTAATTTTCATTTTGGACAGAAATTTTCCATCCAGCGTCCTTAAGGGGAGTGCTGCAATAACGGAAAATTTCCATCCAGCGTCCTTAAGTGGTTAACTCCTAAATGACAGTGAATTGAGCAGTGAAATTGCAAGGGAATGATCTATACACTAAAACTGCTTTATTTAGCTAAAGTAATTTAGGTGACTATAGTGTTCCTTTAAAGACGGACCAGGCTTCTATAACATGAAGAGCAATACCAATCCCGCGGGGTCTAGCGAGCCATTAACAGAGCAGGAGATAAGAAATTCTAAATGAAACAAAACAGAATTTGCAATAAAGGAAGTGTAAACATTAGATGGCTCTTTACAGGAAGTGTATAGGTAGGCTGTGCAAGTCACATGCAGGGAGGTGTGGCTGGGGCTGCATAAACAAAGGGATTTAACTCCTAAATGGCAGAGAATTGAGCAGTGAGGCTGCAGGGGCATGATCTATACACCAAAACTGCTTCATTAAGCTAAAGTTGTTCAGGTGCCTATAGTGTCCCTTTAATGATGATGTACCCAGCATGTAATAGTCACATACTGCAGGGCATGCCATTGGTGCGCTGCCCATCAGCAGGAAGCCGCGTTGAAGCCTGGTGGCTGGAGCACAGAGGTCACGTTACCTGCTGCAGAAGGACCTCCACTTCTCTCTGGATGGGAGACTTGCTCTGAGACACCACAGCCGGTCTCTTCAGACACACGGCGCTGTGCAGCTGCCACGGAGACCGCCCGCCGCCGGCCGAGGAGGAGGCCGAGGTCAGAGCCCGGCAGCCCAGCCTGGCAGCCCGGGATGCCAACCAGCGGCATGACAGCAACACACGGACCGGCGCCGCCATCTTGGGGAAGGCAGACGTCGCCGCGCACTGACAGCGGCTGTACGGCGGGAGATACCATCTATGGCACAGGCAATGTATGTCTGCAGGGCACGCCGAGGCACACACTTATAGTTCACGCATTATATTGGCATTGAATTAATTTAATAATACGAAATATCGATCAACATGCGAGAAACTCCTCAGTGTTTCCACACACAGCACGGATCGGACCCCCCCACTTTCAGGACTATATTGGAGCAGTCGGAATCGTCCATGTTACGGTTGTTAGGGGGGTGGGTCCACACGTTTGTTTTCAAAGTATTTGGCATTTTTCTTTCCAGATATCACCAAAAGATGACATAGCCGTGTTTGATAATTCCACTTTATTTCTTGGATCCCTATCCGGAGTATGCACGCGCTGTGTATCATTAACGCGCTGGCTTAGTAACCCCCCCCCTCGCTGCACACTTGGTATATTCGGCTTGACCTTGCTGCCTGGGCTCAGCGCTGTGTCTGCTCCCGGGAAGGATGAACCCGGTGTTCCGGAGTGCGTGGCGCTGCCTGCTCCCCCTGGGAGCCACCGAGCCGGCGGGGTATGTGAGGGGGCAATAGGGGGACACACAGCAACCTCCCAGCTCTCCTGACCTGAGTGTGTGACAGCCAGGCAGCAATATTAAACCAATGACCCAGTGTGTCTGTCACTTTAATAACATTTATAACACAGTCTCATCATGGTGCTCTGTTACAGGACCACTGTAGGCACCCAGACCACTTCAGCAGAGAAACTGCTATGTTTATGAAAAAATGGGTTAACCCTAGAAGGACCTTTAAAGGGACACTATAGTCACCCAGACCACTTCAGCTCAATGAAGTGGTCTGGGTGCAATGTCCCTCAGGTTTTTACCCTTCAGATGCAAACATAGCAGTTTCAGAGAAACTCCTTTGTTTACATTGCAGGGTTAAGACAGCCTCTAGTGGCTGTCTTCCAGACAGCCACTAGAGGCGTATCTGCGACGCTGGAGACATATTATGCCTCCATCACGCAGAGCGTCCATAGGAAAGCATTGAAAATGCTTTCCTATGGACACTTTGAATGCGCACACGGCACTTGCCGTGCATGCGCATTCGGCTCAGCTGATGTCAGCAGAGGGAGCAGAGGTCACCAGCGCCGAGGGAGCCCTGCTCTGGAATAAGGTAAGTAGCTGAAGGGGTTTTAACCCCTTCAACCCCACAGGAGGGGGACCCTGAGGGTGGGGGCACCCTCAGGGCACTATAGTGTCAGGAAAACCGCTATGTTTTCCTGACACTATAGTGATCCTTTAAGTTGGTCCCCCAGCGCCTGACACTTATCTCTTCCCTTCTTGCAGTATTAGTAAAGTTTGCTGACACTTTCAGCTTAACATTGACTGCCCACTGAAAGAAATAGTAAGTACTGCGTGATGAGCGAGCAGTGATGGATTGCGAACAACAGCAGACCTTACTAATTCATCAACTATCAGCAGCTTTCTGATTGAAGCCTCAGACCTACTGGCTGGGCAGAGCAAACGAGCACCATCTTCCAAAGTTTGGTATTAAATCTTTTGCAAACTGTTTAACCCCTCATGGTAAGATGATGCTTTTGATCTTGTGGTACCATAACAACTTATTTAAGATAAAGTTGTTATTGTGACTGGATTGCTCCTTTAAAGCTACACTTGTAGGTGCCATGACCACTTCATTGCATTGGAGTGATTATGGTGCCCGGAGTTCCTTGGCACTCTCTCACAGCTTCACGTTAAAACCTTTTTAAATGGTATAAAACAGTTATTCACTAAAGTGAGAATTAAAGTGACACTCCAGGCACCCAGACCACTTCTGCCCATTGGAGTGGTCTGGGTGCCAACTACCACTACCCTTAACCCTGCAACTGTAAATATTGCAGTTTTCATAAACTGCAATATTTACCTTGCAGGGTTAACTCCTCCTCTAGTGGCTGTCTACTATGCTTTCCTACGGGGAGGTCTAATGTGCGTGCGCATTAGGTCTCCCCCCGCCGGCGGCCAATGCCGCGCATGCTTAATAGGTCTCCCCCGCCGACGTCAGGAGCGTGGGCGGACCCTGAACCAGCACCGAGGAACATCGGAGCTGGATACAGGTAAGTCACTGAAGGGGTTTTAAGCCCTTCAGCAACTTGGGATGGTGGGTGGAAGGGAGAGGGGACCTTCAGTTTTCCTGGCACTGGAGAGTCCTTTTAAAATTCACTTTGAATTCTAACTTTTGTGAACATCTCTGTAAATGAGGGTCTCGAAGTGCCCATGACCCCACATCCTACACTGAAGGTATAGGTAAGGTTATGAATATGGCTAGATTACACTCTGTGTTATCCGAAGGCTTGTGCTAATGCAGATGCAGAGAGATTCTGAACATCTGGGACCCTCATTTGGTCTGAAACCGTTCAAACACTTGAGCACTGAACTGTGGGACAGCACCAGGGGATTCCAGAAACCATATTTACTTAAGTGGTTAAGATGCATAGTGCCTCTCTTGCGAGGATAGCCCATATGTTAAAAATATGTATTTAAGTCCGATGTGTTCATTTTTTTTTTTTTTTGTATGGCCCCCTCCTTTGTTTACAAAAAAGTAGCAAAACACAATTTAACGTACCTGTAATCTTTTGCCAAGACAGGCTCTACCTTCCAATTTGAAATGATGATCTCTGGTCCAGTCAGTAGCATTGAGGACACATGGAACTAATTGCCTCAAACTGCCAGTCACAGAGAAGCTTAACTGCATTCTCCATCATAACATGAAGTCCTTCGAAAATTCAAGGATGTAGGAAGGAAGCATCTCTAGCGACTGTCTGTCAGTTAGCCACTAGAGGCCTGTTTTCTATCAATCTGCATTTTCTCTATTTAATTTAACTGTATAAATTGTTCAGTGTAGGAAATTTGGACATGGGTTTCTTTTTAAACCCACAGAATAGGAGAGCGGCCAGAAGGTAAAAAAAAAAAAACTGTATGAATATATATATATTTGTGTACGGGGTAATTCGAGGACGTACAACTAAACGTATGTAGTACGATAAGGACCAAAGTCGGTTGAGGTGTGCCGAAACCGACGAGAGGTCAGGCCTGCAAAAGAGGGCCCACCTGGTATAAATTGAAAATAACAAAGGGTGAGGTGGGAGGGGAACTTTCAGACGGCGACGATAGGTAAGCTGGGGTTATTGGGGATTTAAATAGTAACATAACCCCTCCCACAAATTCAGGCATACGCCTTCCACTTGTGTACGGGGTAATTCGAGGACGTACAACTAAACGTATGTAGTACGATAAGGACCAAAGTCGGTTGAGGTGTGCCGAAACCGACGAGAGGTCAGGCCAGCAAAAGAGGGCAAAAATAGAAGACAAGATTAATTCACAGATTAGCAATGGTTTAGCCACATTATCGACAAGAGAGTCTGATTCTATCCTTGGTTAGGAATGTTCCCATTGTAAACTAACATACCATATTCACTTATGCGTGTCGTAACACGTCTTCTAGAGGCTGCTGTTGTATTGACATGGAATGAGATGCCCGAGTAGGAAGAAGGATTAGGCCTGGGTGGAGTAATTAAAGTAACAAATATCACACAATATAAAACGCCCAACTGATATGTTTTGGTATGTGGAGTAGATAGATAATGTAACGATTGATTCCTGAATTCTTTACTAATAAGTAAAGCCTGAATAAATCGTAGAATGCCAAGTGAGCTGCTGACTTAAATTATCAGGGTTATTACCGGGAGGCTTAATGGTTAATTTGAAAACTCCCCCTAATAATTACTGTTGATAGGGAGTGAATTGAATAATTTGTGGAGTTTTGATCTCGTGCACTAGTCGGCACCTTACTGAATAATAAAAGAAAATGGGAGCTGTTGAGTATATGGTCTACACGTAACGTTAAATTCCTGTAGTTATAGTTTTAAATTGTATTGTAGGCTAGTTCAAAGAGATGTGGCAAAAATTGCGCAAGCAGCCATTTATAATCGGAACGCATTTATCTTGAATCATACACAATACTTACCCACATTGTAAGCTTTAGGGTAAGTTTTGCTTAGTGATAGTAGACGACTCTACCTGCTTAAAACTCTAACTTAAGGCATGATTAGACCTTATTGAACTGCAGAGGATCTCTGGACTGAATCTTCTTAAGCTCAACAGTTACGTTTAGGCAAGGCCTGACCTCAGGACTTTAGGATTGGCCAGGGCGGGGGATACTGCAGGGGACCCTTGGCAGACTTGTTTTCTTGAGGAGAGTTAACACAACCTTACATGTGTATTAACTGGTAGAACCATGGAGAAAAGGGACTGAAAAGGGTATCTGACAAACTATGCCGTGATGCGAACCGATGAGCAGCAAAATACCGTGACTTACAGTAGGGAAAATGTGCTCTTAAGAGAGGAACCTGAAAAGGAGCTTGATTTTAAGCTTAAAGATAATATGACGTATAACAACTACCCTATGATCGTTACTTGATAGGCTTGAGATCGTAATTATCTGTATTATAAGATGCCTATAGGTGTAATTTCTTAGACAGAAACAGATAGCATGACCGAAAGTTAGTCCTGATGGACTTCTTGAACATAAATAACATAGTAAGATGTATATATTATTAAATAGCGTAACAAATCAAGCGTGCAGAGACAAGTCCCCAATAGCTGTTAAGGATTTGAATTGTATCGTTTGCTCCTAATGAAGGTCGAGTGATGCCTCGATGTATGATATGAAACAAGTGGAATTCTGATTTACCGTCTTATTAGATTGCTAATGCTTTAACCTGCATTGTTTGTATAATTGACGTAGACAAGATAATTAGGTGACAGTATGCGTCAACGTATGGTAATTTAGAACTCAATGTACTGAAATGCCCCTAATGGGCTGCAAAGTAAAGAACAGTATATCTGTAATAATAAATCTGGAAGCAGTCATTATATGTACATAAGCTAATTGAAGACCTGACGATGGTCGATACAAGGCTTAAATATGTACAACGTGTAAACATGAAAGACAGCGTGTGGCCAATATACGTATTTAACGGAAAATATATATAAGAAACACTATGCCTGAAACAATTGTAGGAGGATACCGCTGATCTTGGTTTCTACTACATTGATATGGGCACCTAGTGTATGTGGTATAAAAGGATCACAGTGAGTGGCAAGTTGGGGAAATAAGTATATATGCTATCCTCCTTGTACTGCTATCTAAATATGTAGTAGACCCTTAGTCCGTAAGTGATTGACGTATTAAAGCATGGATTAGCCCTGTATGATAGTTCTAACATACTGTTTGTATTACTGTAAGGATGTATAAACTCACCATTGCAACTAAAGTTATAACGAGGCGGGAAATAATCCGCTAGGATACATGATATGATTGTTGGATATGAAACATAGTGGGTAGGCATGATGGGGTCTGTAAGTGCGGCCCCCCCAAGAACTACGTGTGCGTGCTGGCTGACTAGCTAGTGCCGCAATGCAGCGAAACGATTACTCTAGGTTGGTGACAGGTGAGGCCCTGCTAATAGCCAAGTGGCTTGAGAGGCTCTATCTATGCGTTGGCGCGAGGGGATAGCGTGGCCACTGAACGTTGTGGCGGGGTGTCGGCCTCTCGGTGACAGTTAAACATAAGACAGAATGGGAGTGACAGGTGAAGCCCTCTCTATGCCACAATGCGAGGCGACTAACTATGATTTGGCCCGAGGGGCGTAGTACCTCCGAGTATGAGGATGGGTGTTGGCCTCACGGGACCACTTAACCTAAGGCGAAGAAGCCAGGGGGAATGATAACTAGTGGACACCTAGGAGCCTGACAGCCAGCCATTGCTACTTAAGAGGGATGATTAGTTCATGAGAGAGAGGACATACCCTGGGATGAAACAAGAGTCATAATGAAGTAGAATTGTAAGGCTGACCGTAACTGGAGTGCCCTGTGAGCGCGTCGGGTCCAGATGATCAGTACGTATGAATTATAATGCGTGTATGTATGGCCCTCGTGGCTCGTAAGTTTATTTTTATTTTTTATTTTTTTTAAATAAGATAAATTTTTTAACCGGAGTATCAGGCGACACAGGTCTGAGATATGTAAGTTAGTCATGTTGATGCTTGGTTATGCAAGTGCGAGAAAGGTAAATTATGGAGCAAACTGTGGGGACAACATGGATTAGTTCAGGTTGGGTACAGAGTAATAGATTGACTTGCTTGGCCTGTGGTCATCTGGGCCTATTTGTTTATGGAATATTATACCTTGAGTATTATACATAGAACTGAGGTTGGGCTCTCTTATTTGTAAGTAACCAGCACACGCTATACTAACGATTTGCATTCTAGTTTTATTTACATATTTTATTTTTACTGATATCACTTGATTGTTTTACAGACTGCACTGTCATTGTATATTTTTCCCCAAATAATGATTAATTCACTTCAGTGGGGGAACACAATATACTTTTATGAAAAATAATAATATATATTTGCTATCCTTCAGTGTAGACTAAAGTTAAATATGGTAACTGGTATGTTGTTAGAGTATTTTGAGCGTAGCGCATGTACATAGAATATGCGTTGAGGAGAGAGTCGCTTAGGTGATCTTATCCAATGTTAGTAATTGGTGGGAACCCCGGGGTTGCCTGGACATTGTGTGGGGCGTACTCGGTAGAGGCTCACTGCCAGAAATTCAACCATAATGACTGTCCCGCAGTTTTAGGGTTTGTTTGAGTGAATGCATTCTGATTGTCAGCGAGTTTGTAATTTTTATATACGCTAAGCATAATGGGCACATGCCATGTAATATATAGTGTGATACATTGTTTGTGGTCACAGGCTAGTTTTCATGAGTATGTAGATTACAGTATGTTAACATGTTTGGTTGACGGACAAGCTTAGGTGCCAGGGAAGACCACCAGGGCTACAGGGAAGCAACCGCCTGCAGGTGGATGCGCGAATATGTAATTAGCGCGATAAGGTTTGGAAATTATGTCACAAAGTGGTGGTATAAGACAATACAAACTCGTGCTAATAAAATACTGTGCATTAAAATCAGTAAATTAAATACAAACTGGCAATGCACGTAATGCAAGGCTGCAGAAATTGAGGAAAATTTTTAAAATTAAATGAAAGAAATCAATGAAAATCATGCTCAGCTGAAGGGAAAAGAGTCCTTAGCGAATAAGAATTGAACCTGACAACATTGTGAAGAAAAGTAACAGGTGTCCCAGTGAAACGTGAAGTAGTTGTTGGACACAGGTAGCCAGTGTATATTATGCACTCAACCAACTCCAGATCTCAAGGCCCGCAGCCTGGTACCAGGGATCCACTCGAGGATGTGGTGTAGCCAGCCTCTCTTGAATTTAGGAGGCCACACACAATAAATTACCCAGCACAGTTGGTCATGTAGTTGAAGTAATCAGAAGCATTGACACATGACATGCAATGCAGCTGCTTATCATTCTTTGGCAAGCATTATTTACTAGTGAGCGGGTCTTGAAGTGGCTGTGAAATCGCATTCTTTATGCTCACTGAGCAGTTCATAGTCACTAGAAGAACGCAGTATACAGTGACAAGAAGACACATTGCACATAGCCTGTCAATAGTCAGCACTAAGGTCAGCATAACGACTTGTTGCTGTGCTACATCTAGAAAAATACTAACTGCAAGAAGCATTGCCATTTAGCTGTGATATGCACTGCCTGTTACAGTCTCTCAACCAGTAATAAGGACCCAGGGGTCGCCTGGGTTGCGGTGTCATACGTGAGCTTGTATATATGGATAAAGAAAAAGTCGAACGGCGGGAATAGCCCGAACGCGGCTATTCTCGCCGGTTACCTGGTGTTCGTTAGTTTGTGCGCGTCTGTGAGAACAGAGGTTGGCGGGAAGCCGCAAGGAATGACGGGACCGGAAGTGCGATGCCTGTTGAGGACCCGGAAGTTTGGAAGGCGAGCAGGCCTGAACTTTCAGACGACGACGATAGGTAAGCTGGGGTTATTGGGGATTTAAATAGTAACATAACCCCTCCCACAAATTCAGGCATACGCCTTCCACATATATATATATATATATATATATATATATATATATATATATATATATATATATATATATATATATATATATATATATATATAAAAAAAAAATGGTAATTCCTGCACTCCAACCTGCATAAATATAGGTACCTGGTGCTCAGGTTGCAAAAATTGATACATACAAAAAATATAGCCGGCACTCACGGTTTTTTTCAAATGGTTTCTCTTTAATTCTGAAAATCGACGTTTCAGCTCCCTAAGGAGCTTTCATCAGGACATAAAATAAATAAAGAATAAGTAAAGCTTATATAGGAAACACATAATCAATGTACTTACAACACAGGTGGTCCTCATACTTTCCCGCCGTCAGACTCGTACCGGTCGCCAATGCGGAAGTGAATTCACTTCCGGGTGCCTGTCACGTGGGCGGAGAGAAGAATGATTTTAATTGGTGCAGAATACCTCGTTTTTGAGTGGCTGGAGGCTAATCTGTCTCCTTAGACCCACCCTTTTTCAACGGGCACTAGTGCAGACCAAAAAGATCTTCTCCAAAATATATCGCGTCACCATGGCAACCGGGCATCAACCCAAACGGCAGGAAGGGAGGACCCAACATAAAACTTCATAATGGAATGTATAACATAGTTAGATGTAACTCAAAAAATGGGGATATTACTAAAGAAGCTAAGTGCACTTATAAAAAGAAATAATAAGTAAGTAATATACATACAGTAATACCAATGTCTATAAAATACGGTGAATCAAAATCTATGTAAACAAGTATAAGAAAAGTAATACGAAAAATTGATACTTAGTGTCAGTGCATGTATCTAAAGTGACTGTGCTCGTTGTTATTTTCAATATCCACTATTATAGTGGCAAAATTCACATTTTGATCATACTATAATTGGTGCTGTAATGTAGATGAGTATTAAAGTGCTGAGTGGCATCTTTGTTGTGTTAATACTGCTGAAGGAATAGAAAGTGCAATAAGTGAAATGTATAGAAAGTGCACATTTACACCCATCAATGCAAAAATTTATCATAGAATTACATATTCAAATATAGTCCATTACCGAGTCTTCTCTTAAGTCATAAGTATTCAAAAAAATATGATTACGAAAACAGTATCTTAAAAGAACAGTATCATACATTTAAAATTCACATAAACTAAAAATCTTATACTCTTTGGAATTAATACCCCACTATTCTAAATCTGGATCATATATTATAAAAAGGCTGAAAAAGAGCATTTTTCGTTTAAACCCCTAGGTGAGAGGGTATCAAGTTGTATGATCCAAAAAGTCTCTCTCCGCAGAAGAAGTCTCGCACGATCACCCCCACGTATCAGTATCGGTATGTGGTCAATCGCAATACATCTTAATGATGATAATTGATGTTTTAACTCCAGAAAATGTCGGGCAACAGGTTTATCCGACTGGCCATCACGATAGGCCAGGCGGATACTTGACCTGTGGCCCCTAATTCTCTCACAGAGAGCTGTCTCTGTTTTACCAATGTAATTCAGACCACAGGGGCAGGTTAATTTATAAATCACAAAGTCACTCCTACAGTGGATGCGGTGTCGAATTTTGTAAACCTTGCCCGTGTGTGGGTGATTGAAGGTTTTAGAAGGGATTATATGTCCACACGTGACACATCCCAAACACCTTACACACCCCACGTTCCTAGCCTGGCCCTTAGCTACCCCATAGCAATGTTGGGGGTCCGTTTTAACCAGCATGTCTCTCAAATTTCTGTTCCGTCTATAACAGAACAGAGGTTTTTGACGAAAGTTCTCTGGAAGAGTGGGGTCCATTACCAAAGTATTCCAGTTGTTCCGGATCGATGAGGTAATCTCTGCACTTGCAGTATTAAACTGTATTGGAAAAATAAGTCTAGTGTTAATTCCTCTATCCCTTGGTGCCTCAGATGATGAATAGGTTGTTTTTGCTCTCTTAAGGGCCATCTCCAATACCTTCCGTGGATATCCTCTAGTGAGGAATTTCTTATACATAGTTTCCAATTGGATAGTGCATTGTTGATTTAAAGAGTTATTTCGCAGTACCCGCAGAAATTGTGAGTAGGGTAATGATGTTTTCAAGTGCCTTGGATGGAAACTGTCAAAGTGTAGTATGGTATTCCGATCGGTAGGTTTCGTAAAGAGTCTGAACTCCAATTGATTCTCGATAATCATAATTTCTATGTCAAGAAATTGTACGCTTTTTCCATCAATCTGTGAGGTCATCTTCACCGGTGTTGGTAATGTATTTAGATTCTTTGTAAATTGAATCGCCTCTTCCTTAGAACCATTCCATAAGATGAGTATATCGTCAATGAACCTGAAATATCGTATGATAGATCGATCATATTTCTGGAGGATATGCTGCATCTCATATTGGTACATGTAGGCGTTCGCATACATAGGGGCCATTGCCGCCCCCATTGATGTGCCTGCTATCTGTAAGTACCAATTAACTTCGAAACGGAAATAGTTGTTCTGTAGGGCTAGACTGAGCAGTTCCAAAATGAATTCAATGGACGGACCGTGATAATGTTGTGAATGACTCAAAAGATCTCTCATCGCCTGTACCCCTTCTTCATGTGGTATTATAGTATACAAACTCCCAACGTCCATCGTGATCAGGATACCGTTGAAATCTTTTACTTCTCTCAGACGTTGTATCAAATCCGGGGTATCTTTTATACATGTGTTTAAAGATGTAACCGGATCCTTAAATAAGTAATCCAGGTATTTAGCTATCGGTTCTAACAGCCCTTGGACTGCTGAAACAATAGGGCGTCCCGGAGGTTTTTCCAAGTTTTTATGGATTTTAGGGAGTGTGTAAATTATAGGGGTTCGTGGATGTGCCTTCTTTAAGTATTGGAATAGCTCCAGATCTATGTATCCTGCTTGGAGTCCATAATTCAATACATCTTCAATTTTCCTGGCAATAGTGTCCGTAGGGTCCTTCTCTAATTTTTTGTACGTTTTTGAATCCTCCAGTTGTTGTTTGATTTCTGCCGCATATTCATCATAATTAAGGATAACAATTCCCCCACCCTTATCGGCTGGTCGAATTACTATCATGGGATCTGAAGCCAAATTTTTGATTAGGGCAAAATCCACTCTGGAGAGATTATAATGTTTCGGTCGATGATTAGAAAGAACTGCTCCTGTTTTATGTCTCACTGTTGAGAGGAAAGATTTAATCGCTGTTTGATTAGTTGGAGGATCAAATGTACTCTGTGTTCTAAATTTATGCGTGCTTCTTGTGTTAGACGATATACCCATACTAGTCTTAGAATTCTTAAAAAAATCTTTTAGTCTCATATTCCGGCCAAATTTAAACAATTCAACTTCCCATAGGAAGTCATTAGGTGGAGTAGTAGGGATAAAGGAAAGACCTTTGCTCAAAATATTAGTTTCCGCTGTTGTAAGTTCACGTTTTGACAGGTTAAAGATGGGGACTAGTTGCGCCTCGGTGGTCTCCCTCTTGGACCAGTGGACTCGTCCTTTTTGTCCACGTCGGGTATTAAGAGAGCAAAAACAACCTATTCATCATCTGAGGCACCAAGGGATAGAGGAATTAACACTAGACTTATTTTTCCAATACAGTTTAATACTGCAAGTGCAGAGATTACCTCATCGATCCGGAACAACTGGAATACTTTGGTAATGGACCCCACTCTTCCAGAGAACTTTCGTCAAAAACCTCTGTTCTGTTATAGACGGAACAGAAATTTGAGAGACATGCTGGTTAAAACGGACCCCCAACATTGCTATGGGGTAGCTAAGGGCCAGGCTAGGAACGTGGGGTGTGTAAGGTGTTTGGGATGTGTCACGTGTGGACATATAATCCCTTCTAAAACCTTCAATCACCCACACACGGGCAAGGTTTACAAAATTCGACACCGCATCCACTGTAGGAGTGACTTTGTGATTTATAAATTAACCTGCCCCTGTGGTCTGAATTACATTGGTAAAACAGAGACAGCTCTCTGTGAGAGAATTAGGGGCCACAGGTCAAGTATCCGCCTGGCCTATCGTGATGGCCAGTCGGATAAACCTGTTGCCCGACATTTTCTGGAGTTAAAACATCAATTATCATCATTAAGATGTATTGCGATTGACCACATACCGATACTGATACGTGGGGGTGATCGTGCGAGACTTCTTCTGCGGAGAGAGACTTTTTGGATCATACAACTTGATACCCTCTCACCTAGGGGTTTAAACGAAAAATGCTCTTTTTCAGCCTTTTTATAATATATGATCCAGATTTAGAATAGTGGGGTATTAATTCCAAAGAGTATAAGATTTTTAGTTTATGTGAATTTTAAATGTATGATACTGTTCTTTTAAGATACTGTTTTCGTAATCATATTTTTTTGAATACTTATGACTTAAGAGAAGACTCGGTAATGGACTATATTTGAATATGTAATTCTATGATAAATTTTTGCATTGATGGGTGTAAATGTGCACTTTCTATACATTTCACTTATTGCACTTTCTATTCCTTCAGCAGTATTAACACAACAAAGATGCCACTCAGCACTTTAATACTCATCTACATTACAGCACCAATTATAGTATGATCAAAATGTGAATTTTGCCACTATAATAGTGGATATTGAAAATAACAACGAGCACAGTCACTTTAGATACATGCACTGACACTAAGTATCAATTTTTCGTATTACTTTTCTTATACTTGTTTACATAGATTTTGATTCACCGTATTTTATAGACATTGGTATTACTGTATGTATATTACTTACTTATTATTTCTTTTTATAAGTGCACTTAGCTTCTTTAGTAATATCCCCATTTTTTGAGTTACATCTAACTATGTTATACATTCCATTATGAAGTTTTATGTTGGGTCCTCCCTTCCTGCCGTTTGGGTTGATGCCCGGTTGCCATGGTGACGCGATATATTTTGGAGAAGATCTTTTTGGTCTGCACTAGTGCCCGTTGAAAAGGGTGGGTCTAAGGAGACAGATTAGCCTCCAGCCACTCAAAAACGAGGTATTCTGCACCAATTAAAATCATTCTTCTCTCCGCCCACGTGACAGGCACCCGGAAGTGAATTCACTTCCGCATTGGCGACCGGTACGAGTCTGACGGCGGGAAAGTATGAGGACCACCTGTGTTGTAAGTACATTGATTATGTGTTTCCTATATAAGCTTTACTTATTCTTTATTTATTTTATGTCCTGATGAAAGCTCCTTAGGGAGCTGAAACGTCGATTTTCAGAATTAAAGAGAAACCATTTGAAAAAAACCGTGAGTGCCGGCTATATTTTTTGTATTTATATATATATATATATATATATATAATATGCTTTTTTTGTGTACCTGTCTCCTATGCGTGCAGTCAGAGCTATGCATCTAGAAATTGGGGTCAGCGGGGGAACATACTACAGAAATGATGTGAACCTTTAATTGAAGAGTTGGTTGCCTACATCAAGCAACTGTCTCTGCACCATTTCATACACAATAGATTCTAAGAACCATGGAAATAATTAAAATTGCTGTGGAATATTTCTAGCCTAATTCTGCTATTGCATAAAAATATGAGCTTAGCTATTTATATCTGCATTCTTGCTTTTCATATTTTGTTATAAATATACGTGCGTGCTTATTAACACTATTTTTTTTCTTAATTTTAGAGCATTAAAATTATCATGGTGTCGAGCGTTACACAGTGGTGTTCAGAGATTCCAGCAAGTTGCTGAAATTGCAGGCATTCAAAGTTCCAAAGAATTCAGGTAAATATAGTGTTTGAACACTTAGATTTTTTAAGTCATTTACACGATTTATCTTGCTTTAGATAAATAGCCACATACAGAGAGCCCCAACTATAACAAATAAAACCTATACTATAGTAGGTATGGAATATTGTTATTCATCTCATCTCAGCTGTCCAGACGTATTAAAAGTAGTTAAAGTAACCATATCATTAAAATCCATTTAGCTCATTTAAAAGTATACTTCACTGCCCAAATAAAAATCACTGTTTAGTAGATATACTTCAATGGAAACATGCATACATTTAATTTTTTTAAAAAATTTTTCCATTGCGGATATATCTAAAAACAGCTTCCCCTTCTTCTAACCCAGCCTACAGTTTATGTGGCTGTCCAATCACAGACTTCTCAGTGCAGCTCAATGATAAGTGTTGTCAGGTTCCGTGCACTGGACAATTGCCTGACTCTTGGATTTCGCTCCACTGAGCTAAACAACCAGGAAGTAACAAGACCTGTTGTCTGGTAGCAAGGGGGTGTAACAAGGTTAATTTATAAAAGATATCTATTGAAATGTGCAATTTTTGTAAAATGGAAAAAAAGAGGATACCTATATAAAGCACTTCAGTCGAGGTGCTTTAAAGTGCTGTAATGTTTCTTTAATATGGGGAAAGTGTGTTTTTGTTTGCATCCTGAATGGTGTAAAGTCGTGTATCTCTTTGGGCACATTGTATTTTTCTACCAGAGTGACCTCCAGGCAGTTGGGGAAACATTATTGGTGTTTTAGTTTTAGGATCCTCTCGATTCTGTGCAAAACAAGGAGTCCCTAACTGCATTAGATAGTGGATTGCTGTTGCTAACTGGATAAGGCTACATGCTTCAAAAAAATCATGCATTTTTAAAAAGAATTTGAAGGGACACTACAGTGACCAAAACAACAACTTATTGTAGTTTGTTCTGGTGAGTATCGTCAGTCAATGCAGGCTTTTTAATGTAAACACAACCTTTTCAGAGAGCACCTCTGGTAACCACTCATCAGATAACCACTAGAGGTGCTTCCTGGGTCATTGCTGCACAGTGTGCAGCACTGCCATTCAGCTTCTCCACACTCTGTATGGAGACACTGAATGCTCCTCATAGAGATGCATTAAGTCAATGCATCTCTGAGGACATGCTGATTGGCCAGTGCTGTTTGACTCTGCCCCCGTCCCGCCTCCTTGGCTGACATCAGCTTATAGCGCTTTTCTATTAGGGGGCAGGTCCAGCACTGGAAATAAGGTGAGTTTTGTTTATGGATTTCCAGGGATCCTACATGTGTTCACACTATAGGATCAGGAATACACGTTTGTGTTTGTTTCTTTACAATGATAGAATGTAAAGGAACACTCCATACACCTTTACTACTACAACATTCTGTATTGGCTATGGTGCCAGAAGTTGCCTGGTGATGTCCCACCGTAACCTGTCAAACCATTTTAGTATGATTTGCCACATACCTTGCCACCGGGTGCTCATGTTGCTTCTGATCTTCTAGAGCTGTAAGAGCTGGATTTCTGTTTTGTCCAAGGCAGGAACTTATCCTGAAGCAGAAGGAGTGATGATGCTGTAATAATTATGGTACTTTGAATGTCCCTTTAAATTAAATTATAATTTATTAAAAAAAAAGTTTTTTTTAGTTTTGTTTTCCCTATTGAACTCTTCTTTTCATTTGTTTGCTTTAATTTACAGCCCAACTCCACCATTTCCTGGACAAAGCAGCGCATTGCGATGGGGAGGCAAGACGTTTGAAGAATTACCAATAGTCCACGTGAAAGCAACTTATAACAAGTCAGTTCATGCTAAAGAACTCCAAATTTATTCTTTTTTTGTTTTCATATGAACAGATTAAGTCAAAGTGCAGTACTTTACATTTCACGTAAATAAATAAAAGAAAGCATTCTCCACAATATAGATTCATTAGTGATGGTGTTAATCAACCCTTATGCTGTTCATTGTATGCAGCTTAAAGTGACATAGTGTCAGGAATACAAACATGTATTCCTTACACTTTAGTGCTGGTGTGGCTGTTTAGGTCCCCTGCCCCCATGTCTGTGCAGTGAAAAGGTGATTTTACATAGGAAAGCATTGGGCGGCTAATGAGCATGCGCAGCAAATCATTCAGCATCTCTTTATAGAGACGCATTGAATCAATGCATTTCTATAGCTAACGTTCAAAACCTCTGTGCAGAGTGTGGAGAAGCTCACTGTGCAGCACTGAACTAGGAAGCACCTCTAGTGACCGTCTGAGTAACTGCCACTAGAGGTGTTACTAGGCAGCAATACATTGAAAAGCCTGCATGGACAGGCTTTATACACCATAACCACTACATTAAACTGTAGTGGTTCTGGTGACAATAGTGTTCTTTTTAAATGGTTACTCCAACGATCATTAAGACTTAAATGATTTGAAGTCATCATGGTGCCTGGAGTATGTATGTGCAATAAGTCTGCTTGAAATATACAGATATATTATTTATTGTGTGCCTAGGGCTTTTTGCACCCCTAGCACATGTGATTTAGGCAGCCCAGAATGCTGTTCTGTCAATTCTGTGAAAAAAAGTATGTAGTCGTCATGCGGTGTGTGTGTGTGTATAGATATAGATATAGGGGGGAGAGAGAGAGAGAGAGAGGAATTTTGCAAAAAATCAAAATACTTCTCTTTATTTCAGTTCCACTGGGGAACTTTCATCAGGACAGAAAACAATTTTAAAAAATCGGCATCAGTTAAACTCACGGGGGGTGTGTGTGTGTGTGTGTATATATATGTGTGTGTGTGTGTGTGTATGTGTGTGTGTGTGTGTATATATATATGTGTGTGTGTGTGTGTATATATATGTGTGTGTGTGTGTGTGTGTGTGTATATATATATATGTGTGTGTGTGTGTGTGTGTGTGTGTGTATATATGTGTGTGTGTATGTATATATATATATATATATATTTGTGTGTGTGTGTGTGTGTATATATATATATATATTGTGTGTGTATATGTGTGTGTGTATAGTATATATATATATATATATATATATATATATATATATATATATATATATATATATATATATATATATATATATATTATATATATTAACAAGTCCAGTGCACTCACATCCACTAAACAGCAACTTCAATGTTGAAAGATTTCAACATTGAAGTTGCTGTTTAGTGGATGGGTGAGTGCGCTGGATCTTGTGTATTGTATTATTTGGCCCCCAGCAGCACCCCCATTTATGCATGTTAAGGTAAGTGCAGCCAACCCCCGAGAGAGAGAGAGAGAGAGAGAGATACACACACATATACATACAGTGTGTATATATGTGTGTGTGTGTGTGTGTGTGTGTATATGTGTGTGTATGTATGTATGTGTGTGTGTATATATATATATATATATATATATATATATATATATATATATATATATATATATATATATATAATATAGTGTGTGTGTAATCCTCCCTCACTCCTTTCCACTCCCTCCCCTCACCTTATCTATCTATAGTACCCAATAAGGTAGATTAAACAGAAAGTCCCCCTCCCCTCTAAAGGGTTGTAGTAACACTTTAATACATTTTTGTGGTGAACTGAACTGTTAATGTCAAATGCATATAATAGACCATTGGGAAGTTATGTTGTGGGTGCTTCACGGGCCCAATTTTAGCTGAATAAAGGTGAGCTCAGGGGAGGCGAATTAATACATTATATATTCAGAGAAAACACAATTTAAAGGACAATGTATGCAATATGTGGGACATGCAGCCTGTGCCCCATGTCTGGACTTTTGCCAAGTGTCCGTTATACTAATAGCTTAAATGCTTAAAGCGAACATGCTTAAATTAAAATTATCAGTCATCAACCACAAGCTGGGTGCAAGGGGTTTTCTTGCTTAAATTAAAAGTGGTAAAATGTTTCCCAATGCTAAGCAATTTTTCCTGCAAAAATTAAAACCAAAACTTGGCTCACCCTACGTGTCATGATGTGGACTCAAATGATGATAAATATTAAAAATAAACAATCTCTCATGTTCGGGCATAGTACATTTGGATAAGCAGTAAGAGTCTAACTCCACAATATAATAGTGTTTGCAATTGCCTATCTGCAGACAGGAGTGGTTTCTCATAGTGTTAATTGTATATATAAAGAGGTTATAACCAAATGGGGAAACTACTGACTTGGCAAGGTATCCAGAGAGTCATAGTAATTATTACAGAAAAAAAACTTTTCGTGGATCATATCAGGCTTGTTCTACCCTTAAATGCAATCCAACCATGCATGCCTCTTCTGTGCATGAAGTACAGCCACCTCATGCAATTAATTTGAAATATCCCTTTCTGTTACTGATATATGGTTGTCATATCTTTAGAGCACAAAAAAGATGTCTATTTCTTTAGTTAAGCTAGCATCAGGTGTTGTGTGTGTGTGTGTGTGTGTGTGTTTTTTTTGCTTTTTGTTAACTGTAAATTTCAAAGCCATGTGTTCTCTTCTATATACAGATATGGCTTAAAATTGGCCATCTTGATATCTCAAAATAATTGCACCTACAATTTGCAATAGACAACTGACCTTCAAATATATACAGTGTGTACAGATGAAAAAGAAATGATGGGAGCAAAGCAGCTTCTCGGTAGTTACATGCATATTTGATTTTTACTGGAGAGGTCCTAGAACGTGTTTTCTGCATGTTTCTGCTATATCTGCATTTCTGTATGCATGCTAGATAATTGAGGCATGTAAATTGACACGTGCCTGTTGAACACAAATTGTAATATGGAAACTAAATGAACTACCTTGCAGCCAGATGGCTTATGGCTAAGTAAAGAAGTAAGTCTATATTGAGCATAGTGGAAGTTTTCATGTGCTCACTGCATTTAAAATGTTATGTTTGCATCTGTTTCAGTACACATGTCCAGGTGACCAGTTTTGATAACCAGTCACTAGTACGCACATCATGTGGCACTGAGGGCTTCAGAAATGCTAAGAAGAGCAGTACCGTAGCAGCTCAGACGGCAGGAATCTCAGCGGCAGCAGTAAGTTCTGTCTGAATGGTTTTGTTGGGGGGTGGGGGGTGGATTTTATGGAATTATTGTAAATGTTTCAATATTAATAGTAAATATAATATCCAGTCTGTATATCCTTTATTATCTATCCCAGGACGTATTTGAAAACTTTTGAGTTATTTGAGTTATGTGAATGTTCCTTTCCTGGTTAAATACTTTATTATATGTACGGATGTTCATATTTATATTTAAAATTTGTGTTTGGCACTGGACAGGTGACAGTAAAAAAAAAAAAAGTGGAGTAATGCAAGGGCGGCAGTTACAAACCTTTTGTAATATTGCACACACATAGAAAATAGCCTGAAATCTGTAGTAAAGTACGTATAATAGTTCAGTAGAGAACAGAATTACTTGCAATGTTTGCTTATGTCCCATGCTAGGAAAAAGGGGTTATATGTGACATCAGACAGAAAAACAGATTTTGTACAAGTGAGAGTCCATGCCCTATCCAAATAATTTTATTGATGATGTGAGTGCTGAATTGTCTTAAGGTAATGGCTCAAATATCCACTTGGTGGCAGCACACATCCAACCTAGTGACCGTTTTTGAAATTTTAAGAAACAGTTTGCACCATGTATATTGGAGCTAAGCTCTGCCTATTGAGAATTTCTTTTTTTTTTTTTTTTCTGATGCATAGATTTCCCACTGACTAGCAGCACACAGATAGGTCACTACATTTCAGTTTGGCAAATAAAACTAATTAGGGCAAGCCTTTGAAAATAAGCCCATAACAGTTTTCTTTGCACAATTACATAAAATGCTGACATGACCTCTATGTTGTTCTTTGTTACTGTAATGATTATCTGCTGCTACTGATGATACTGTTTCACAAAGCATTTTTATTGGCAGCAATATTTAAAAAATAAAAAATAACAGGGATGACTGTCATTTGAGCGATTTACACAACAGTTTCTAACTATGAGTTTCTCATTCAATAGTTTTACATGTTCTAAGCCTCAAAAAGATCTTAAGGCTAGATATGTTATATATGTGGTTATAGCATATTTCAGTACAGCAACCAGAATTTGAACTGGTTTCTTTTACAAACTTAACCAAATGGAGATGAAGACTTTTTACCCCCTAATCCCCACATAACAACTTACTATCTTATTTTAATTTATTATTTTTTTATTTTTTTTGAAGTGCCAAGTTACATAGATTGGATGGCAATGACATTTGGCATGATAGTACAGTAGAAACAAACAAGTTTAACACTTTTGCAGGAAATGTAATGAGTGGCAGCACATTTTTCTTTTCATAGTAAGAGACTAAAGGTTTATAAACCGACTAGTTAGGGTAGTATAGGCAATGTATGGTATGCCAGGCTATGGGTAGGTAGGAAAAACCACAGGGCCTCCGCTCAGTTACACATAAGAATGTACTAGGTGGCTGGAGCATGCAACCGTGGACAATGGAATGCCACTTATCAGAGTGGCTAGAGCACTGTTTTTTTATACTAACAAACAAATTATAGATAAAGATAAAAACAATGCTATAAAGCATACGTGCCCTGTCAGTGGGTAGTTGTAAGGATTCGTGGCTCAACGGAGAAAGCACAGACTAGCTAAATGCCTTGATTTGCATGCTAAACTAGGCTCCATGAGGTTGAGCTGGTTTGGCTTTGGTGGGCAAGTGAGCCTCTAGTAGTATATAGTGGGAGACTCTTTATGGAGTGTGCTAAGCCAAGAGGAATACCCAGTGTGCTCCTACTCCCAGGAGAAGACTGTCTACCTGCGCTATTTCACAGTTGAGTAGCAGGGGTAGCCTGCGTGGAGTTAGTCACGTGGAATTCTAGTAGTGGAACACACCGCTGTAGGTCGGGGTGCTCTAAGGTTGCTAGGATAATCTGTATCCCGGGACCTATTGCTGGTGCTAGGTGGGAACTCCATAGGGGATCCGGTGCGTATCTCATTCTATACCCCTGTAAGCAAGCCGAGGACCTACAGTGAGGACCCTTCCATTTGGAAACAGTGGGGAGGAAGAACATTTAAACCAGGTGATCGTCCTGTTGGCAGCCATTGACGTGTACACTCTAGGGGTACCAAGCAGGGTACTGAACTAAAGGGAGCATAAAGGAAGGCATTCGAGAATAGTATATGTTGCTAAGTCTCCGCTTGGATGGTGACTGCTGCGTAGGGTTCTGGTGTAGAGCCTTGTGGGAGAAACTGAGTGATTCCTGATGGATCCCAGGTATGGGGTGGGGAGCTTGAATTGTGTGCCCCCCCATGGGTGAGAGTGTCTTGTGGAGGCCCAGAGACCGCAATTGGGCTGTTGCTTCTTGGATCTGGTGCGATTCCGTCCCCTGTTGTACAATGAGCCTTCAGGAGAGCCACCAGCGGTAGGCAATGTTGTGTCATTGAAACAGGGAGATGAGTGGTCGGAGTGACCTGTGCCATGCTAGGGTTTCATTGGACAGGTCGGTGAAGAATGTCAGCGTCATGTCATCGAAGTGAAGAGGGTTTTTTCCCCCGTAGGGCTGTGAGAACCGCTGTTTTTTCTTTCCCGTTGCGAAAGGAGAGTATAATGTCCCTTGTGGCCGTGGCCAGTGCTCTGACAGGTTTGGGGGACCCTAAAGAGCTCTTCAAGATTAATAGGTTTGGCCAGCCTGGGCGGCAATATGGCTAACGGGTGTCTCAGGACGTGCGGCAGCTCAGCTTCTGGGACCCCTCTAACCTTCAGATGTGCCACAAAGCGGAGTTCATGCATCCGGTTCTGCTGTTGTAGATCGTGCACGGCCTGTTAGTGTGGCAACAGTTTGGGTGGTAGCTTGGGAGGATCCCTCCAGCATGTTAATGCGGCCTGTCAGGCATTGTAGGTCGCCTTGGAGCGCAGATACATCCGCGAGAATGTTCTTTTGCAGGTCTGTCAGTAATGTTTTCAAGACCACTATGCTTTAAGTCTGTTCCCCAATTTAGTGGGTCTTGCCTTCAGGGCTTGAGCAGGCAGGAATTCTTTGGCGTCCCCAGAGAACTTATCGTAGAAATCCGAGCAGCCGCCATATTGGACCCACTAGCGCCATATGCTTGCCTCCACATGTCGCCTATTGTCAGCCCCAGGGTAGACTTAACCGATGACGCTTTCTTCGTCTTGCGTCCCATGTGGCTTAGGGAGTCCCCACTGACTTTTTGAGGGTATGAGGGTGCAAATTAATAGCTGATTTCACCGTTTTAGACACGGAGCTTCAGGCTCATGCGACCACTGGCTTTGGTGGTCAAGCTCCACCCCAATAGCCTACTATTTGCCTCCATCATAGGACAAAAAAATGCTTTAAAGATACACATTACATACTGCTATAATAATAAAACCCCTTTAAATGACGTCTTGATCATTCTTACTCTTCAGTAGTTGGCATTATATAGCACTTATTCTTTTTTGTTTTTTTTATGCTATTTTTCTCTGTATGCTGGTTTGCTTGCTAGTTTTGAGTATACTGCAAGAGTGTTTGTTGTGGTTTTTTTTTGGTTTGGTTTTTTTGACCCCCTTATCATGAAACCATGTTAAGAAGAAAAAATCTCCATTCAATTTAAATGAATAGTTTTATTTGTATGAGCGTTCCAAAAACGACCAGGTTTTAAACAAGTTGCTATTCAGAAATTCAGTGAAAATTATTAGAAAATACAATGTTATTAATATTAATGTGGCAATATAAAGTATTATTGGACCACTCCCACAATTTTAATTTAAAGAGGTGCCTACTATTTTATCTCTGATCATAAATTCTTGAAGTTCAACTTAATTTTATAGTTCGATACAATACAACATACAATAATTAGATTACTTAAAAATATATTTTATTGTGCCAACAACAATCTATGCGATCGTAACATAATCAGTGATCATACAACATTTAACAAAGAAAACTGCTTCAAACATCATAATAAAATTTCCAGAATAGACTATGAAATCTGGATAATGAGCAATGTAGCTACTGGCTCAAAGAATTTCACCAATGAATGCAGTTACTCAACCTAATATATCGCATTAACTTTTAATATTCTTCACCATAATGAGAGGAAGTCTCAGAAGAAATGGTCGTTGTATGTCGTTTCTTAAGAATACGACAATTTATGTATTGTAAGCATAAAATGAATGAACAATATAATGCAAACAAAAGATAAAAATAAGGAAGGGTAAATATCAAAAGGAGTAGAAAAACACACTGAAGGTAATGATTAATGCCATGTTCTCTGTATTATTAAAGACTTGATCCTACTAGTTTTGTATGGCAGATACTTATCATTAGTAAAAGCTAGATAGGAGTCTAATTTTTACAATTTTGGTTGACTGAATATTTTTGTACAGACCTAGCACTTCTGGAAATCCTTCTGTAGCTCAATGTAGTAAACTGAAAGTCCCAGTTTTCAAACGCAGATCAATTTGGGGCTTACTTAGCATTTTCTATTTACGTGTGCCCAGTTTTTTTTTTTTTTTTTTTTTCTTCTTTTGTTTTCTAAAGGAGGCACCATAAAATACTGAAAACCTAACAAACAAAACAACAACAAAAAAACTAAAATTTTTTTTTTTTTTACTTCTTCTTTGTCTTCACTTCAAGATTATTTTTTAAATTTATTTTTATATATCTTTTCTCCGATAATGGTCTTTGATTTGAATTACACAGAGTGGCACACGTTCATCAGAACTGTTTAATTTTGACGTGAAGTAATTATAATATAACTGTTAAATTCACCAACTTCTTCTTCTTCTATGTCGGTCAGAATAGCCACCCATATCACATACAGCACCCCATGACACTTTTAGCCCAGACTCTGCCTTTTGACACCATTAAATAATAATAATGCTAGTGTACATTTTATACATCCCTATTTTGCCTGATGTCCCTACGTTGACAAAGTCCTTCTTCTGTGTTGGTCCATTGTCGTGCACTGCACAGAGAAAATGTTTGTCAGAGATGGACACAATCCACCATCCTAGAGAGCCTCCACAAATAGTCTTTACATTCTGCAACCTTCTGCCAAACAAACACTTATTTAGTTTGTCCCCCTCCCATTGCATGTTCAAAATCAACCTTTTAATCATGCCCTTAAAACTTTCCCCATTGCTGTGAATTACTCCTTACTCTCAGGCACAAACTGCTTCATTGTCACTATGCTTGCTACAACAACTTAATTTACCCAATTACCTTTTCAGTACCTAGCTCTCCTTTATCCATTCACCATCCACTCACCCACTACAATTTAAGTGACATTCTCACTTGAGAGTGCAAGGTAATTACCTTCACCTTATACCATTTCTAATACATTTACATAGTTTTCATGTACATAACCATTATTTTCAAAATGCCACATAGATATTAAGACATTTGCCTCCTTTACATACATTTCAACCTACTTCTACTCCATTCCGTACTCCATTAGATTTGGAAGTAGAGCTGGTTTTCTTCTACATTACTCCTTCACACAAACTAATTAGTTCACCTTACTTGAATTACCTAACTTTGGAACTCAGTTCTCTTTAATTTCCTTTGCTCTTCTTATCACTATCAAATACCACCCCCAAAGTAAAGTATTTATTACTTAAAATAATTGTCTGACAGCTTTCCCCTTACTCTCTTTATTTTGGCCTTATGCCTCCCTATATCACCTTGTCATCACGATTTTAAGACACAATGATTACTCTTTTTCTCTCTATCCTCACTCAAATGGACACTATAGGAATCAAAATAACATTCGCTTAATGAAGGGATTTTGGTATATAGATCATGCCCCTGTAGTCCCACTACTCAATTCTGTCATTTAGGAGTTAAATCACTTTGTTTATGCAGCCATAGCTACACCCCACTACATGTAACATGCACAGCCTTCCTAAACACTTCCTGTAAAGAGTCATCTAATGTTAAAACTTCCTTCACTGACATGAGAGAAATACCATCATGCAAAGTTGGTACAAAGATACAAACATAATTCAGGATTCATGAGCACATATTTACAGGAAATGTACAGTTAGAGCTGTAGTCAGTGAGGCAAATTTAATTTTTTTTTTTTTTTTTTTTTTTGTTATACACAAGCCCAGGCATCTCTATATAATAGGTGAAACGGTAAGCGGCCAATGCAAGGATTAACTAAATGTCGTCTCAATTTTATGGCATTAGAATTATCTATTCTATTATCGTTTACTCTAGGTATGCCGGTGCAAATGAGTGTATGTAATGAGGCCAATAATAAAATTGAAAATAAATCCAAAGCAAACTAATTGAAATCAGGCTAGTGTGCATTATGCATTTATGCTAGGCTATCATCCAGGCTTAGACAAATCAGAGGCTAATTTGTTAACTGTTGGAACATAGGATAATAGATTGGAATCCTCATGTAGGCTTACGCGTTTAGGCATAGCCAACAAGAGCAAATATCTGCCACTGATACAGAGGCATGGAGGAGGAACTTGGCAAAAATAGACACCTGTAGTCCTTGTCAAAGATCAGGAGACTTTGTGTAAGTCAGACATTTCAGAATGTGTAAGAGAAGATAACATTAAACATCCTAAAGTATGGCAACACCATTCTGGTGCTTGGAAAGTCATAGGGAGCCTCCGGTTGTAGCTGCTGCGTAGGTGTTCGACGGTACAAAAGAAGTAACCTTCACCGGGTCTCATTTATGCGATGTTGCGGAGGTACAGCGTAGGCCAGCCCTGGCCATGGAATCTTGCGGTAGACTCAGGGTCTCCGGTAGAGCTGCCGCTTCTACTAGATCATGGACGAAGTAGGTAGTGTATCCTCGCAGGACCTGAAACTGTAGGCTTTCCCCCATGTAACATGCACCACCAGGTCCCCCGTGGCGGATTCAGGGGCTTAGGGACACTGAAGGTCGCATCGATACTGACATTCTTGTTTGGGAGTCAACAAGGCCCCTATAAGTCTCCACACAAGAGGCAGGAGCTCTGCAGGTAAGATTTCAGGTATGCCTCGTATCTTGAGGTTGTTGCGGCGTTGTGCGTCTTCCAGAAGAGCGTAGCATTGCTCAAAGGTGTGTTGCTGCTTCTTAACGCTCTGCACTTCGATATCTGCGGTGAGCTTTTTGGACCGCAATACAGTTGCCACTGCCACGGTCCGTAGACGACTCACGAGGCCTGTAGGGTCAGAGCAAAGAGTGGCCTCATCCTCCTGTATAGTTTTCTGGAGGTTGGAGAGTAGCTATTTCAGAGTGGCTGTGGTCACAGGTTGAGCGTCATCACCCTAAGCAGCTGTGTGGGGTTGTGTAAGAGGCGGCAAGATAGCATTTCTCCTGTTAATCAGTAGGTCCTCTGAGGAGTCAGAGAAGTCGTTGATGTCAGCGGTCATCTTGGGCCCACACGTGCCATGCGCTTGCCTCAGCAGATCTTCGATATTCATACCCGTTCTGAGCTTGTTGGGGCTTGTTTTGGTCTTACATACATTGTATGTGTTTGCACCTGCACCTCCGTTTTCGGGTCGGAAGACTGTTCTCTGAAAGTCAGAATTCTAGCAAGTTGTTACAAGGCCAATACAGTGAGCATCCTTCTGTGGCAGCTGCTTGGCTCCACCTATCTCTTGCACTTTTGTAATAGCCTTTTGGAACCTGCAGAAACCTCCTCTTTGTAATTAAAGTTCAATTTACAGAGCAGGAGAGAATTTCTAAAGCAAGTTAACATCTGAAACTTTTTTTTTTTTCCATGCAGGCTGTGCCAGTCACTGCCAGGAGAGCTGTGGCTAGGGCTGCATAAACCGAAACAAAGGTGACTTAACTTCTAAATAACAGAGAATTTGAGATTACAGGGGCATGATTTATATACTTGAACTGCTTCATTAAGCTAAAGTTATTTTGGTGACTATAGTGTCCCTTTAATCTAGCCCTTTCCTGTTATCCAGTTCACTGGCTGCAAATTCAAAAGCCTGATTTACTGAAGGGTTTAAGAGGCTTCTCCTCTCAATAAGGTTAAATAATTCATCTGTGTTAAACTAAAGTACGGTAAATTGTGTTCATGGAATCGTCAGTCTGGAAGTACTGGGGCACAGCTACACTAAAGATAAAGTGCAGTGTACCCAAAAGGGAAGAGAGATGTTCTGGTATGCAGCCTATTTAACTACACAAACATAAACGTAAAAAAAACCTACTGTACTATAGCATGGTAGTATCGGTTGTAAGAAGTAGCTGTGGAGTAGGTTGTTGTAGGCAGATGATTTACACATAGTTATTGATGCTTTCCTAAAGTAGTAGGGATTTTTAATGGACTGGAGATTAGGGCACACTGTGACTAAGTGTGAATGTGCCATCCCTTTAGATCCATTTTAAAATAACTATTTCTGTATATGAATGAATATGGTCTAACATAATGCTTGGGTACATATGTCAATCAAATATTGCTCAATTAGAAATATGGGGCCTAAAGTGCCCCAAGAAGACCTATCCTCCAACCATTACACCACAAGCCAGTTCTGTTCAAACCTGGTAGGATGGAGTCATGCAGTTGGTTACTCTACCAAAATCAAAAACGAGAACAGCACACACCTTATGAAAGGACCACCATTATGGTGTCACATGAACCAAGGAGACTACCAATCCCTTGAAGTATATCAAATGAAGAACATAAATGTATGGGTACCCAGGATATATTCAGTTTCCAGACTTTTTATTGAAGTGGAATGGTATATTGCGCATTGATATATCGTGTTTTGTGCCCGGACATCTATGTTCTACATAACCTCATCCTACTACCTGTATGTTTCAGCAGAAATTGAGAAAAATCCATCCACGTAATGTTACTGTTATCAGTCTTCCAGTTCTGGCAAACACATGCCCTCTAACTATATGTTTCTGTTCTTATCGGATTGGGATTGTAACCTACTATTCCGCTTGTGTAGTCAATCTGCTTTATGGTTTGATGTTTAAAAAGGCATGTATAAGGTATAAAGATGAGCACTACTTCAACTTACTATTAATAAAATCACAGATTTTATTCAGCAAAAGATGAAAACAAATTACTAATTGCAAAGTAACCAATCAATAGTGGCAAAGATTCACCAAACATTACTGCATATAACAAATACAGCAGTCAGTCTATCAGAGACATGTGCAGCCCATCCTCCTTCCTATAATTTTGAAATACTACATATGTGTGTTTTTTTATGAACTTGAATTGGGGATATGCTATTTTAAAGATACGCTATCTGACATCATATTGAACTTATTAATCGGCATTAGAAGGGGAAAAAAAATACACACCACAAGCCTTGTGACAATCAAACTGAGTGTTTTTTAGCTCGCCAATCCTTGAAAATAGTATGGTCCTTTTTATTTTCTCCTTATTTTCCAAAGTGTTGAAATTTGCCCTATCTGACAGCTCTGTATTTTATAGTCCTTTATCTCCACGGGAGCTGACATATAGGCAGCCTCCTAAGTAGTCAAAGTCTGAATTTGCAGTGAAACAGTCACACAGTAGCCTTGTCCTCTCAACATTCTTCGCATCAACCTGCATTACCTTGCATTGCAGTCCAAGACTGTTTATTTCAATGGGGGAAGAGAGGCTTTTGAAAGAGGGGGGAAAAAAAACTGTTCATCTTCACATACCGTAGGAGGTGAGCGAGACAGACCTTTTATTTTTTTTAAAGTAATTTTAAGAGCATGCATTTTTCAACTTGCTGGTCAGTTGGAGTTCTATTAAAAAGCATTTTCTGCTTATAGATTAGGCACTGGCTGTTCCATTTATTCAAGTTGATACCCCCGTGGTTTAATTCGTAAGCCATGATTTTTCCTTTGCAATTTTCTCTCTGCTTGCCATTCTGTATTTGTTATATAATTGTTTATTTCTGGATGGGCCAGGATGGGTATTTCCTCGATTCAACGTGACAATATGTCAATCAAATGATGTCGTCTTGATTATGTTTATTCCTATGTGTATTATCATCTGTTTTAAGGCAATCTCTTTTGTGGGATAAGGTGTTAATTATAATATGCTCATTAAAGCATACAAAAAAGGAATAGATGGAAGATGCAAAGGTGAACAGAAAGGAATAAAGCACTGGACAGAACCAGATCCTAAATCCGTCGATTTATTTATTTATTTTTTGATTAGATGAAATAAAGAATTATTGTATCAGAAGACCGTGAGTGCAGCCCATGCTTCTAAAATATATATTTATATAGCATTTAGATGGAGATATCTCTCTCTCTCTCTCTCTCTCTCTCTCTCTCTCTCTCTCTCTCTCTCTCTCTCTCTCTCTCTCTGAGATATCTCTATATCTCTCTCTCTCTCTCTGAGATATCTCTATCTCTCTCTCTCTCTCTCTGAGATATCTCTATCTCTCTCTGAGATATCTCTATATCTCTCTCTCTCTCTCTGAGATATCTCTATATCTCTCTCTCTCTCTCTCTGAGATATCTCTATATCTCTCTCTCTCTCTCTGAGATATCTCTATATCTCTCTCTCTCTCTCTCTGAGATATCTCTATATCTCTCTCTCTCTCTCTCTGAGATATCTCTATCTCTATCTCTGAGATATCTCTATCTCTATCTCTATCTCTGAGATATCTCTATCTCTATCTCTATCTATGAGATATCTCTATCTCTATCTCTATCTATGAGATATCTCTATCTCTATCTCTATCTCTATCTATGAGATATCTCTATCTCTATCTCTATCTATGAGATATCTCTATCTCTATCTATGAGATATCTCTATCTCTATCTATGAGATATCTCTATCTCTATCTCTATCTATGAGATATCTCTATCTCTATCTATGAGATATCTCTATCTTAATAATGGAAGCATGGGCTGCACTCACGGTCTTCTGATACAATAATTCTTTATTTCATCTAATCAAAAAAAATCAACGTTTCGGTCCACACAGGGACCTTCCTCAGGACAAAGTGTCAATTACAGAGTGAAACAAACTTAGATATATACTCATATGAATTATAGAAAAGTGACTTACCCCAGGTGTGTAGTGTTTAAGCCCAGCGTTCTCCCCGTGTTACTGCGCATGTGCAAAAACACCACGCCCCCACATAGACCCGCGGCCCATACTTGATGACGTGAATTAACACCATTACCACGGCAACTCTGTCACCGTCACCATGTATACCGTCTAGGTACAAATAAACAGACGGCACCTCGTAGTGAATACCCCAAAAATATATGTGAACAGGGATAAAGTCACATAATAAAGAAAGTGAAAGGAAGATAAAAATACCTATAAAACATGCATTGAACGTTAGAGATAGTAAAGGATCCACAGTGTGTACATATACAATTTAGAGTAACCCCATTGCTATGATAAGCTAATCAGGGGAAAGCATATACATTTATAAAATCTATATACATTTTCAGGAGCTATACTCTTTCAAAGTTGGTCTCCCCCTTATTTAAACTGTGCTTTATTATCCTAAAATCCTAAGGTGCTTAAGAGATGTGAAAATTGGATAGTCCTGGTGTACTATAAATATTAGTATTGCCACAATATATCTTTAAAGTGCATATAGTTAAATATAAAGTTGCAGTTATATCATTAGTAAGAAAAGTGCATGTGCTGGTGAAAACTAAAACTGAACTAAAATATAATGAACGCCAAAATTAAATGTTTTTTTATAGTGTTAGAGAGACCTGTAACAACAAACCCCCATTTATCATGTATATAGTGTAGTCAATACTGTATTCTCCATTTCCATCAGCATGCAATTAGAATTAGAGCTTCAAGGCAGAGTTTCCGTGAATGCCCATTTTTATGGTATTGTTATATATCAATTTGAAGAAGCCAATATCATATATCTGGCTAAACATGCCTCTGTCTGCTATGTTACCAGCAAATCTGGCTATTAAAGCCCATTAAATTTAAATATCATTGTTGCTTCAAATTATAAAAAATACTGGACTATCAAGGAAACCTGTCTATCAGCTCTATATACTTAAAAACAATTTAAAACTAGCGAGGTTTATATAGCAGAACTAGCAAGATTTATATTACAGAAAGGAATAGAATGTTATCAATTCATTGAGATCCTTCGGGCAAACTGTGTCCATTTTAAATATCCAGTAAGTTTCTCTGTTCAAAAGCATCTTTCTTCTGTCACCGCCACGACGTGGTTCCGTCACGAACGTTTAACCATCCTCATTCGAATAAGAAATTTTACATTAATTATACTATTACTTGCAAAACTCAGTTTGAGAGATATATATATATATATATATATATATATATAATCTCTCTCTCTCTAAAAAACTTAACATTTAATCAGTAAGATAAAAAGTCCATGGAATGGACTAAAAGGAACAAGACTGACCACAGACTAAATAAAAAATGTATAAAAGAACGATACACAAAAGAATAAATGTATTTGCTAAAATAGCCCACTGAAACTGCTCTTGTAAAAACACGAGACACCCGGTATCTGGATGGAGATGTCAGATCTCAATAGTTTGGTGCAGAGATTAATGCAAAAGCACACTCTCTAATAACTAGTAAATAAATGTGTGACACTGTCAATTGCAACACAGTGTCTAGATTGTCCAGTGTCAAAATTGTAACTTTACAAACCTGGGGGGAATAATGAAAGAGGGGGAAAATCCATGGGAGCAGAGAAGGGGAATAAACCAGAAATCTGCTTTCTCACCTTATATGTGCCTTCAAGGGCACCTCTTACCCCAGTAAAGATTAACCCTATACTGGCCGATGTAATCAGTAAAACCTCCCCTCAATTCCCCAGGAGTAAAACCAAGTACTAGATGATATTCAATAAACGCACGGTAGTATTGTGTAGACAAGATGCTGGTTAGAGCAAGCTTGTCCCCTGCAACAGATTTCTGCTAAGGATGGCGTTCCTTAACTGCCTGGTATTCGTTTTAAGATAGCTAAAAGAAGCAAAACTTCCCCTGAGGCTGTTTCCTACAACAGATTTTTGCTAGGGATGCTGTCACAGAAATATCGCTATCATTCAACTGCCTCTTATCAGTTTTAGGATAAATAGCTAGTAAGAGCGAAGCATCAGATGAGCTAAAAAGAAATGTGCGTCAGGGGTAGCTTTTTTTACTTTGTACATTTTTTTTAAAATTTTTTTATTTATTTTGTTTGTGGTCAGTCTTGTTCCTTTTAGTCCATTCCATCGACTTTTTATCTTACTGATTAAATGTTACGTTTTATATATATCAATTAGGATTTAAGATCTGGTCCTGTCCGGTGCTTTATTCCTTTCTGTTCACCTTTGCATCCTCCATCTCTTTCTTTTTTGTACATTTACACCAGGGTTAGCCCCCGCTAGGAGGGTATGCAACTCTAGGCTCCACTTGTTCGTTTCTTTTCTTTTTTAATCTCTTTAAAGCTTATATCTGCATGCAGTAATTGGTGCATGTTCTGCGTTAAACTGTATTATTTAATATGCTGAGTTTCCATTACATTAATATTTTACAATCTATTATTTACAGAAAGCCATTACTAAAGGTGTGTCTCATGTGAGAGTTATTGTAAAAGGCTTGGGACCCGGAAGACTGGTGAGTAAATAAAAGGGGCTTTTATCATTCAGTTTATATTCGTAGTTTGTAGTATGTTGCAGTTCTGTTTTAATATTAAATGACCAGTCTAAGCACCCTAGCCACTATGTATGTAGTTGTTGTAGTACTATTACGCCGCAGGTGTCTTCTGCCTTGCACCTGCTTGTCAGAATTGACAATTTGATAATTCCTCCAATTTCATCCATATTTGAATGGCACCGATTGGCATAGAGAATCACCTGACATGCTTACCCAATCAAATCTTTCCAAATATGTATTAAATTGACATTAATACTAAAAGAGAACATCCTCCTTATCAATTCTTGCAAGTGCAGTCGGAACACTGTTTCGGATCTCCTAATTTTGGTAAAAACACTTGAACGGTATATTCGAGAATCGGGAGACGATGCCTGCAGCCTATTAGCACTATACCATTACATCGGCATGGGGTTAAGGGGTTTAGAATGCCCATTCAACAGGGGAAACAAATACAGTAGTAACAAAATATAATTTATTTATTTTTTGCATGAAGGAAGGCAGCCATTACCTCTACCTCACTGATTTTACTGAATAAATGTTGTACTAGAGTTTAAGATTTATGAAAATTATATACTGTTTATACTCTAGTATAACAAAAAACTGGGAAAACTTATTGACTCGAGTATAAGACTATAAGAATATTACTTACATTTTTTTTAATTTTTTTCATCCCCCCTCCCTGCTTGATACATGGCCAGGGAGGGGGGGCTATATTATTCCCTGGTGGTCCAGTGGATGGGCTGGGAACAAGCTGTTACTTGCCTTTATAGCAGCTTCGTTCAGCTCCCTTCTCCACTGTAAGTCTCGCGGTCTGCGTGCCGCCCGGAGCGTTGCCACACCACGGCTCTTGCGAGACTTACAGTGGAGCTGAACAGCATGGAGGAAAAGGGAGCTGAACGGAGCTACTTTAAAGGTAAGTAACAGCTTGCTCTCAGCCTCCAGCAGGACCGCTGGGCTTGTAATGAGCCCGGCGGTCCTGGTCTGTATTATGGCAATGTAAGTTTCCATAATACAGACATTGACTCGAGTATAAGACGAGTGGGGGTTTTTCAGCACAAAAAATGTACCGAAAAACTCGTCTTATACTCTAGTATATACGGTAACTCAAAAAATAAACACAATGTGTGGACTAGTAGATATGGACCCTATTTTTTTTCCATAAATTGCTTAAGAGGATTCTAGGGACTTCTGTCCTTTTCTCATTGTACTGAGGGAATTTTACATTGGGCATTTACATTCAGTTAGTTAAAGTGCTTTGTGTCTGGAGTCTGTCATATTTGGGACAACTTATGAAAGTGCCGATTTCAATAGAAATGTGCGCTTTTATAAATTCAAAGCAGAAACGTCTCCCTGGCTGTCAATCAGCCAGCCGATAAGGTCTTAATTTTTCTTCATACGTCAGCACCACGTAGCTAACCGAAGCAGCAGTCGTGCTGGGCTAGAATGCACCTGCCTGTCCCCCTTCTCATTAAGCTGTACCACTTAGGAAAGTCATAATAGCATGCTCCAGCACTGTGGCTTCTTAATGAGACGTCTCTGGTGTTTTTCCAGGCACAGACTGCAGGTTTGTGCTAGGGAAAGAGAGGGGAGCTTGTAATCATCTGCAGCTTTTTTTCAAGACCTTTTTTTGGGAGAAAAAAGTAGAATGAACAGTCAATACAAACTTTCTAAATTAAAGGACCACTGCTATGTTTCACTGAGGATTAATCCATCCTCTAGTGGCTGTCTCACTGACAGCCGCTAGAGGCGCTTCTGCGATTCTCACTGTGAAAATCACAGTGAGAAGATTCTGGACGTCCATAGGAAAGCATTGATTAATGCTTTCCTATGGGCTGTTTGAATGCGCATGCGGCTCTTGCTGACATCGGCAGAGGGAGGAGCGTGCTGCTCTAGCTGACATCGGCAGAGGGAGGAGCTGGAAAAAGGTAAGTGGCTGAAGGGGTTTTAAACCCTTCAGGTCAGTGGGAGGGGGCCCTGAGGGTGGAGGGGACCTAATGACCCTATAGTGCCAGGAAAACTATAGTGGTTCTTTAACCTTAGGAAAGTGTAGTAGAATGGCAGGTTCCTTTGGAGTACTTGATTTAGCATCATTTCTGCATGTCACACTGTCTGTCTGCCTTTCTCTGGCCTGTCCTTTAAACTGCACATTTGCATTGGTGCTGCTAATGCAAGGAGCAAAACTAATCTCTATATTAGCGGTTCCAAACTGTGTGCTACAGGGTTCTGGGGGGCCGCGACGGGCACACAGGGGAGCAGCGAGTTGTTTTCCCGGTGCTCTCCCCTCCTGGCTCTGCAGGACCGGAGTGGAGATCAGAGACCTCCCTCTCCAGCCCGCTAGCACTTTGCTGACAGCAGGCAGGGGAGTGAGAGAGTACCCGGGGAAGCTCTAACCTGCAGCTCTGCCAGGTTCTCCTCTTGTGAGCTCAGAGCGTTGCCGCGTTTACCACGGCAACGCTCCGAATCTCGCGAGAATGAACTCTAGCAGCTCCTGAGGCTGCTAGAGTTCAAGGTCGCCACCAGGACCACCAGGGATTGCAGGAAATGTCAAAGGTAAGCAGGGAGGGGGGACTTCATTTTTATTTTAATTACAAAAAAAAATATATTTCATAAGCTAATTAAAAGTTAAGTTTTATTTTTGGATTTTATAGTCCTGAGAGTGACATCTTATCTTCCTCTTTGTATTTTTGCTGGACAAGCACCGGGCAAACAAATTTTTTGGCATATGGAGTGCAGGATTATTTTCTTTGGTTATATATATATATGTTTCCCCTCCCCCCCTATACACACTGAACCCCTCACAACCTGCCCCACACACACATTGTACCCCTCATGCAATAACTGCCCCACATACACACACACAAACTACACAAATACAATGTACACACGCTACATCCCTCACACACATGCACACTGCACCCCTCTCTCTCTCTCTCACACACACACACACACACACACACACACACACACACTACAGCACCTCCCAGCAGACCCCACGTAAGTTGCAAAACCGTTCTTAAATAGTTTGACTACTTACCCTGGGAGAGCACTATGGCACTACTGGCACCATAACCACAACTAATGTAGTGGTTATTGTGCCTGGATTGTTTCTTTAAATAATCTACCAGTGCCACTCCCAAGATTAGGGGCCCAATATATGCTGCAGCGCTGTACATATACATGCAACATAGAACATTTTTTGACTTGGGATGCCTTGGAAAATTATTGAAATATTAAGGGCGCCTTGAACCTAAAAAGTTTAGGAACCACTGCTCTAGATTACTTCGTTGCACTACAATTCCATGCTATATCTGGCATTATCTGCACTTTAGGTTTCTCCTTCCTTGAAATGTAACTTATATAAATGATGCATTGTGTTTAGAATTATACTTTTTTATATATAAAGCCCACTGTTTCTCAAACCGGTCACATGGCAATGATGATAAACATATAAAAGATTTATACCAGTTTTCTGTCAGGATCTTTGAGTCAGAAAAGTAGCAAAACTATAACAAAACAAATCAAACACCGTGCATAACACACTAAATCCACATATAGGTATACCAAGTTAAAATGTATATCTTCATCTATCATTTAAGACCAGCACATACTGTGAATTGTGCCACAAATACAGTATTTCTCTCTAGACAGGGCTGTTGGCCAAATGTCTGTGTTCCCCTTAAATGACCACTACAGTGCCCTGAGGGTGCCCCCACCCTCAGGGTCCCCCTCCTGCCGGGGTGGATGTAGAGGAAGGGGTTAAACTTACCTCTTTCTCCAGCGCCGGGCGGGGAGCTCTCCTCCTCCTCTCCTCTCCTTCGGCTGAATGCGCATGCACGGCAAGAGCCACGCACGCATTCATCCAGTCTCATAGGATAGCATTTACAATGCTTTCCTATGGACGCTGGCGTCTTCTCACTGTGAAAATCACAGTGAGAAGCACGCAAGCACCTCTAGCGGCTGTCAAGAGACAGCCACTAGAGGCTGGATTAACCCTAATATAAACATAGCAGTTAGAAAAAAGTGTTAACCCTAGATGGACCTGGCACCCAGACCACTTCATTAAGCTGAAGTGGTCTGGGTGCCTATAGTGGTCCTTTAATCCAACAAGAGGTAACTTTGAGGGAGAAATATTGTATTCAATGTGTTCTGACACAAGTAATATACCTCAAAGATTCTCAGACAAGGGCTAGTCAATGTAATTTTGCTGCCATTAACCTAATGGCATGCAAGCAAGAAACTTGATCTAAGAACCTTCAGTTAATTTGCTGCTCAGTGTTACTTTAAGTTTAGATGTCATTCCAACCCCCCCACCCCACCTCCCCTGATTATTTAAACCTGTACATCAGTGTCTGCTGGTAACGCTTAAATATTGCTTGTAGATTGTTTACGTATGTTGGCTATTTTTCCACTCCTGTCCATGGCATGTCTTGAGACCCTTAAACTGTTTTATTAGGGTTTATACGTTAAGCAGTTATTTGAAAGCAAAAATGGAATTTGAAGACTTTTGCTATTTTGGCATACATTTTGCAAACCTGATTTTTCAAGTCACAGTTTAAACCCTACTGTGTTTGCAATAGGATCAGATACTATAGAAATTCCAGTAGAGATGGCTGTATTGAGATATATAATGTAATCAACTGAAAATGATTAAAACAGAACAGTCATCAAAGCATAATAATGGCACAACTATTGAAAATGGAACTTCTGTAAATGCTCTGTTTACATCAGACAGAAAATTGGAACAGTATTGTCAAATGACAACCGTTTTGTCATTTAAAAGGCAGGCTCTGTAACCTAGAATACAATGTCTTCAAGTATAAGTTTAGTCCATCTCGACTCTTCATATTGAGCAAAGTGTATGGTCAGTTTAATCTGTTATTCATGTACATCGGTTTGCTACTCTGCCAGGGAAAATAAAATGCTTGCTTTATGGAGGTGGATTACAATTACCAGGCAGATTATATGTTTAATGTATACATGAATGATTTCACTCAGATGAAAAGGAAAGGTCTAACAAGCAACATGCTTGTGTGTGTTTTTTTATTTTTTTTTTATTTTTTTTTTATTTAGAACAAATCATTTGAGTTGTGTGCACTTTCTTCAAGCTAGCATTGAGTAAAATGTCATAAGAAGTATTCAAACAAATTAAAAGGCACTTGAAAAACCTGTAATATTCTGTTAATTATTGAACTGAATGTAGTCCCTCTTCCTTATAAATGTTTACTCAGAGACTTGTAATCCTTTAATAGAAGTAAATTAAGTGTAGACATCTCTTTATAGGAAGTAAAATAAGAAATCCTGTGTATGTTCCTGAACTTGCATTCAAAGTACTACTTTAACGTTTTTCCTCTAGTCTGCCATCAAAGGGTTAACAATGGGAGGACTTGAAGTGATTTCAATTACAGACAACACGCCCATACCTCACAATGGATGCCGACCACGTAAAGCACGCAGAATGTGAAGCCTACTAAAGGGGAACCCGGCTGCGAAGAATCGGCAACAAAATCTATCCATAGACTCCATCCTTGAAAGCTGCCACTCTGCATTCAGACCCATTACAAAGCCTGCCGTGCACAGCTCAGACAGACTCTGTTGGTACAGGGTCATTCCATGAAGGGGTTAACACGAAAACTACAAAAAGAGATTTTGTCAAGACAATTTTGTGTTGATTTTTCCTCTTTTTTTTTTGCTTTTAAGATGCCTTTAATAAAATGAAAATGTCAGAAAATGTTTGACCTCACCTTTTGTGTAGCTCACGCCTCACACATATTTCTCCCTTTCTTCGATGTCCTTGAAAAGTACACAAGAATTGTATTCTCTTCAAAAATTACAGGTAATATAAATCACTGTGTAGCAAATTGCTTTTACAAACAATGGGTTATTCCTTGGCAACATACTACAGAAAAATCCATTGTAAATATAGCAAGAACGAAAGGGGGGCGGGGGGGGAGACTAGTAGAGTTGAATGTACGACACTAAAGAGGAATCTTTTCAGTGTATTTCAGATTACCATTTTTACCAATTTGCATACCTTTTAAAGCTTTTGCATTGTACCTTTAAAAAGTGCAAGGAAATATCCTGTAATTAAGCCATTGTAAAATAGCAATGTTAAACAAATACTCCTGAATATTCATAATTTTCTATCATTCTGAATACCAGCTTTAACCCCTTAAGGACCAAACTTCTATAGTAAAAGGGAATCATGTCACACATCCCATCACATGTGGGGGGGGGGGGTCTCTCTCAATGTGGTGATAACCTGTTCTGAGCTGATTAAAAAAATATCTCATATATATATATATATATATATATATATATTATGGTATATAATTTTTTTTTTTTTTTCATCTGCTACATACAACTAGTTATTCAGTCAGCTTTCTAATGTTCCCGTTCCAAATATGAATTATTGAATTAAAATAACTCTAATATTAAAATAAATGTATATATTAAGAGTAGATATTTTTTGTTTTTGTTTAGCTTTACACCTCCTTGTAAGAAAAGGGAAAAATACCCCATTAAATTTACCTGTATCTGCTCAGCAGCCAGATTTACTCATGATGAGAAAATCATGTTTGATTAACTCTGGTCCACAATCTGGTGTTTCTTATAGAGAGACATAGCACATCTATAGTGCACACATGATATACGTCACATTCGCCAAATCCAGTGCACTGCTCTCCTATGAGAAGCATGAGCCACATTCAGCGTAATAAGCGTCATTGCTCAGCAAACCTAAAGACATTCGACAATCAAAGGTCTTAAAGGGAAATCGGCTCCAGTAGCTGCCTGGCTGACAGCCACAAGGCATGTTTTCAGCCAAATGTAGACAATGCCATTTATGAGAAAAGACAAAATAAAATTTAAAGGACAACTGTCACCTGAAAATTATTTTTGTAATATAATTATCCTTTCATCGAGTTTTGAAAGGAAATATAGTTTTTTTTTTTGTTTGTTTGTTTTTTTTTGTTTTTTTTTTTAAATGATAAAAATCCATCCCCAATCTTTAATATAAGACTGGATCCTTTAGCTGTATACATGCACATTGGGTCAGATAGTGTTTAAAAACAGTCTCTATAGTCTACTCTGCTTCATTTCCTGTATACAAGCAGGAAAGACCCAACGATGGCCAATCTCCATATGGAAGCAGTGGGAGGCTAGGGCGAAAGTGCAGCAAATCACCATGTTGCGCCAAGCAAATATTGCTCTAGGAGCAGTCAGTTAATTAAGAGCCAAGTTTGACTCGGTTCTCACATGAAGACAGCCTCTAGTTCTGAGAGATGTTTTTAATTTTGCAATGAAAGCACTGCAGTTTCTGCAAAATCGCAGTATTTTAAACTAAAAAACAAGATTCCTGCGCATCCAGTATAGGTGTGCACACCCAGGTGCTACCACAATTTATTTGAGGACAAAGTTAAAGCAGCAAACGTTTCGGGCAGCAGCCCTTTGTCAATGCTCAATGGGCATTAGCATTGAGAAAGGGCTGCTGCCTGAAACTTTGAACGCAAAATAAATTGTGGTAGCACCTGGGTGTACACACCCATACTGGATGCACAGGACTCTTGTTTGTTTTTTGGTTGTATATACACTGTTGGGACTTCAGTGTGGAGTATCTGCAGCACAGGTCTAATTTTCTTTGATTATACCTTGAATTTTGTAGGGACTTTTTGCCTCTACCTCCCCCTATATATAGTATGTTAGACTAAAGTGCCACTACATTCAGAACATTTCATTGAGATGAAGTGGTCATGGTGTCTGTAGTGGTTCTTTAACAAGACAAAAGGGTTCATTCACTAAATCAGGATTGAATTGACAAATTGCTAATTTTACACCTAAGTCGCTCATTCGAAAACAACGTATCCAACTCAGCTGTTCTATTGCTTTACTTTTTTGTGTTTAAAGGCACCCTGACAACTTCATCTCATAGAAGTGGTCTGGGTGCAGTGTCCCTGGTTCTCTTAATTCTGCAATGTAAAACCTTGCAGTTTTAGAGAAACTGCAGTGTTCAGACTGCCTCTAGTGTCTGCCTACCAGTTTTACTCTGTAAAATACACTAGATGTCCTCACACTGTGCATGAGGACATTACGTGTCAAGCAAACCCCTTATGGCTTTCTTATGGGGAAGGCCTAATGTGCACACAGCGCTTGCTGCGTATGCTTGTTATGCCCCACATCTGCGGATGAGTGCGACCCAGCGCCAAGGGAGGCCAAGATGCTGCAATCAGGTATGTGTTTAAAAATATAGCTTTGTATTCCTAACCCTAAAGTTTTTCTTTACATTTGCTTCACAATTGCAACATTTTCTTTACAATTCCATTGTCCAATCAGCACAATTTTTGGTTTAGCAACAAATCCTAGAACATCCAAACAGAAGTCGACTTCAGAGAAGATTCTCAGTAAATCAGTATATATGGATCTTAAATCGTGCTGTTTAGATGTTTAAGGATTCACCACATAAGCGGCACTTTGGGACATTAGTCAACACAGCATTCTATGACTATAAGGAGTTACTGTCTCACTATATTTTCTATCAGAGAGGTAATTGCATGTAGACTTAAACAATATATCTTGTGTAAGGCAAGCCAGTGCAGATATATCTTTGCTTTAAAGGACCACTATAGTGCCAGGAAAACATACTCGTTTTCCTGGCACTATAGTGCCCTGAGGGTGCCCCCACCCTCAGGGTCCCCCTCCCGCCGGGCTCTGGGGAGAGGGAAGGGGTTAAACTTACCTTTTCTTCAGCGCCGGGCAGGGAGCTCTCCTCCTCCTCATCTCCTAATCTCCTAATGCGCATTCAGCCGGTCTCATAGGAAAGCATTTATAAGCATTTAGAATGCTTTCCTATGGACTCTTGCGTCTTCTCACTGTGATTTTTCACTGTGAGAAGCACGCAAACACCTCTAGCGGCTGTCAATGAGACAGCCACTAGAGGCTTTGGAGGCTCGATTAACCCTATTATAAACATAGCTGTTTCTCTGAAACTGCTATGTTTATTTAAAAAAAGGGTTAATCCTAGAGGGACCTGGCATCCAGACCACTTCATTAAGCTGAAGTGGTCTGGGTGCCTAGAGTGGTCCTTTAAGGAAAAAATAAAAATGGCATGCTTTTAAGTGTAAGCTACAATGTGAAATATTTTGGAATACACCATTGTATATCCTCTTAACCAGCGGTTCCCAAACTGTGTGCCGCGGAATGTTTCCCAGGTGCTATAATCATACATTACTGTTGAACAGGGGCCCAGATGGGTACCGCGGTCCTTTAAGACTGCGACCGGGCCCCTGTAATGTCAGCTTGTCACTTCCTCCCAGTATCATGCAGGGAGACAGTGTGGGAGAGAGAGGAGGCAGCTGCAGCATGAGGGGAGAGGAGCACTCCAAGAGCTGCTCCAGACCCCTTCCACCAGCAGGAACAGGACTCCAAGCCACCCTCCTGGACACATAAGGTAAGCTATTAGGAGGGTAGCTGGAGATAATAAAAAATATCACAATTATGTGTCTATATATATCAGTGTGCATCTGTGTCAGTGTGTGTCATGATATGCATCTGTGTGTCAGGGTGTGTTTTAGGTCAGTGTGTAGCTGCATCATAGTGTATGCATGTATCAGTGTTTATGTGTATGTCAGTGTGTTAAGGTGTGTCTATATGAATTTGTGTGCATGTATATCTGTGTATGTAGTAGTGTATGTGCATACATCCAAGCACATCATACACCAGCACAACATACAAACACACTTCTGCAATCGAACACAAATATTACATACAATCACACACCTGCGTTCAAACTCCAAAAGGATATGCAAACACACCACTTCACACTAATGTACATCTGCATTTAAAAGTGAACATTACATACAAACACAAACCCTGTATTAAAACACTAAAACTATAGACTGTAAGCTTGTTTGAGCAGGACCCTCTTCAACTTATTGTTCCTGGAAGTTTTTGTAATTGTCTCATTTATTGTTAAATCTCCCCCTTTGATAATATTGTAAAGTGCTACGGAATATGCCTGCTCTATATAAATACAAGCACCCCTTCAAACACCAACACTGTATATTACACTATAATGTTGGTAAATGCCATAACACCGTACAGCTATACAACCTAGAGATTTTGACTTGGGGTGCCTTGGAAAAATATTGAAATATTAAGGGCGCTTTGAACCTAAAAAGTTTGGGAACCACTGCTCTAAACAATAAATTGTGGTTAAATCACAACCCTGTTTTAAAATTTGAGGCCATAATATGAGTTCCAAGTGTAGCAGAACTAGCTAACTATGTAACCATGAAAATCACAAAAGAAGAGTTAACTAGTAATCTAGGTTGAAAACGGGCCAAAGTCCATCTTCAACATTTAAAATCCGTTACTTTATGTGGTTGGTCAAAAAGAAGGGGAAAAAAAAACAACTAGTGATTTTCAATTATGCCACAAAAAATGAAAATATCCGTCTTGTCTCAATAATGGCAATCAGATTTGTCCTTGGATCAGCAACCAGTTCATCTACATATTTATTATAGCCTTGCATATTCTTTTTTGTAAAATATATTCAGCCCCTTCTTTTTAATTCATCACTATGAATAAATCCAATTTTCTGCATTTTTTTTTACATACGAATTCTCTTTGTACCTTTCTAGTTTTTAACAAAATGTGACTAAATGTATTTCAAGTGCATGGAAGATTTTTTTAAATTATTTTAACTGCAATATATTAAATCTTATAGGGATTTTTTAACATTTTTCTATATGCATTTTAAAGTATATATTTAACATTTAGACTTTTTCCTGAATCTAAAAATCAAGAATAAGCAACTCGCCTGTACAGAGGGGGACCCAAAAAAAAAAAGAATCAGGAGGGTGGTAACCTTTTAGCTGGACTTGCTTTTTGCCTTGATATTTTAGCTCTAAGTACTTTTATATTGT